TCGGGGAGAAATTCGGCTTTGACTCGCAACAAATCGGCTTGCAGTTCATTGCTATCATCATCGGCTGCTTGCTCGGCGAACAGCTGAGCGGTCCCATTTCCGACCGTTTCTTGCAAGCTCTTCAGAAACGCAGGGGCCATTACCGCCCAGCAGACCGTCTTTGGTTGTCCTATGTCGGCTTCGGGACCGTCATCGCCGGCCTTCTGGTCTGGGGGTTTCAGCTTAGCAAGGCCACGTCCTGGAACGTGACTCCCTGCGTGGGTGCAGCAATTGCCAGCTTCGGTAACCAAGTGATCACCACAATCTTGATCTCTTTTGCCATTGATAGCCATCGCGAGGTGGCTACAGATATTGGGGTTTGCATCAACGTGTTTCGCCATCTTTATGGATTCGTGAGTGTTTACCAAGTGGTTGAATTTGAGGTTCTTGCTGACTCTGCATGCTCTGCGGCTAGATTGGTCCGTTCTATTTCCCAGACATGTTCGATACATTGGGGTTGGCTGGTGCGGCTGGGGTTATGTGTGCAATTGTCGGAGCGTGCGCCATGCTGCCGATTGTTGCCATGCACGTCGTCGCCACGCGGTCTGACTAGTAGTATTTGACTAGGTGGCAGGTCGAAATAATCAGGGGGAGTAATCCAAGGTACGCATAGCTTGTCAAAGACGGATGGTTTTGGAAGAAGTCCTGTACTGTCAAGACTATAACATAGCATCCGAGTGAATGCCCTTGGGCAAGTGATGACAGTAGTATGATAGAGTTTGCCATCGACTGAAGGTTGTCAGTATCCTGAAGTAGTTTATTTATCAAGGGGGTCTTCGTTCAACTTATACGTATGCGATCTCGTCTACGCTCGCCTTTTCGATGCAGTAGAGTATGCCATGCTCATGCTTGAGCTTTTTTCAGGCAATTTGGCCGCGGAAAGTAATCGACTTCAGGCAATGGACTGAACAGTCAAATTAAAAAAAATAGAAGGAGAACCATAAAGAGTAGATAAAAAGAAGATTAATCGAGTATAACTAACTATTTACATCCACATAAACTGGCCTTTCCCAACCCAAAGGGGGCTGGACCCACGGAATCGGATCCGAAGCTCCCGCCCGCACTTGCCCGTGGCCTCATGCTCCGGAATTCCTTCCGCCTCCTATCAAATTCCCAGACCCGGACAAAGCACGCGAATGTGCTAACACCTTGCTACTGATCTATCTATGACTAGTCTACCTTCTTCAAAACGCTGGCCTTCAGCAGATGGTTCTGCTACTCCACACAAACGTCACAAGATCACGGTCGCGTGCGATGAATGCCGCGTCCGGAAGGTCCGGTGTGACGGCATCCATCCCGGTATGTCTGGTCCGAAGTTGCACTTCTACATCGCTGGTTGATCTGACGCGTGTTGTGCAGTATGTGGACCATGTGTGAGGAAAGGAGATCGAGAGAAGTGCATCTATACTGGAGATAAGAAACGAGCTATGCAAACGTCAGTTCTGCCTTGTATCTCAGGCATCAATTGAATCGGCATCTGCTGACGTTGCTCCGGGGAAGCTATGTCAAAGGTCTTGAGAATAGGTTGAAGCTTCTCGAAAACCCTGTGAGAGCACAGGTGGATAGTACTCAGTCATTGGGCCCAGGGTCTCCGCAGGTAAGCCCTCTGAGTCTGACTAAATGACTATGATCCCCAAGTTTGAGGTCCTCAGACAACACCTTGGAGAGACACGTTGCGCTAACTCTTTCGAATCTCAGACTCGATTCCCGAGTCCACTGCAGACGCCAACGTCGATCGCAGTTGCTCCATCCCTCACGAGTCATAGGCAGCGTCTACCAACCACCTCAGTCAGTGATAGCGGGGCTAGATCTCTTTCGCCATGCCTCTTATGCGACCAAACCCCGGACGCTTCGCCGATCTGTATGCACAAGGATGCAGTGTGCCAGAATCCGGCTCCTGATAACAGGCAAAATCCACGGCAGTATACAGACGGCGTGAACGCAATGATGGGCGAGGTGGAAGAAGAGCGGCTAGCCCAGGGCTTCTTTGGTAGCTCCAGTGCTGCCAGTTTCATTCGACAAATCAGAACTGCTATTGATCAGAGGGTACCGTCACCATATCGCGGAACATCCGACTCAATTCTTGGAGCGACATCATCGTCCGGTCTAAAGTCCTCGCGGATGCAGCGTCCGTCTACAATTTCCAACTACGTCCTTCCGCCGCGGAAAACAGCAGACAGTCTGATGGAGGTTTACTGGACCTTTGTCTTTCCACTTTATCCCCTCATCGATAGTCTGAATCTACGAGCTGAATATTCAAGGCTCTGGACTGGAGAGCCTTCTCACTCGGACGAAAATATGCTGATGTGCACTTTCAACGTGATATTTGCATTGGCCTGCCAGCTAGCTGACTTTATTCCGCCCGAAGAGCGTGAGGCGTCGGCAGATGCGTTTTTCTCTCGCGCCAAAGATCTTCTTCGATTCAATTTGTGGAATACAGGATCCGCTGAGCTCATTCAGTGCTTGCTGCTCATGGCCCAGTATCTCCAGAGCACGGACTCCGCTCATCAGTGCTGGATCATTACCGGGTTGGCCATTCGAAATGCACAGAGTCTGGGACTACATCTTCCGCAGACTAGTGCTCGTCTACGTAATCCTCAGGAAAAGCAGCTGGCCCGGAAGATCTGGCATGGATGCGTGTTGATGGACAGGTCAGAACAGCCCACGCCTCTTTTCCCACTCACAGAAGCTAACCGAGTCCTAGGGTAATCTCCATGACTTTCGGTCGCCCTTCCATGATAGCTAAAGCGTCCGGTGGCTCCGTACCGCTACCAGCGACTGTTGACGAGGAGTATATACCCTCTGCAGGCACCGACATAATCCAACCGGCTGGTCGACCTTCTGTGATGGCATTCTATGCCAAATCTTTGGAGCTCTACGAGATTCTGAACGATATTCTTCTCAGTCTGTACAATCCTAATCCGGATGAGAGCCCGGAAGATGTTTATGATTTTTATTTCAACAAACAGACTACGGAAGGTGGTCATACCATATTTGAATTGGACCGAGCGCTCACCACGTGGTCACGAACTTTACCAGAGCACTTACGAGGCCAAGCCTCTCTCGCTTACGGCGACAAAATGTTCTACCATCAGAGCGTTGTACTACGAGCACGGTGAATTTTCTCAATCTCGATTGCGGAAGACATGTGTTGATGTAAAACCTCCAGGTTCCTTCACGTGCGCATGCTTCTTTTCCGACCTATTTTGTCTAAATACTGTACCTCCCGCGATATTGCAGTCGCCGACCCCCTCATTTCTCTTCAAGATTCATTTCCCCAGCGTATAGCACTCCAGTGCTCCATTATCTCCGTCAAAGTTGCGCAGGAAGTCATCGGCTTGATCCACAGCCACATTCCCGCCGACGGATCGGCCGGTCCACTTCCAGCGTGGTGGTATAACATTCTCTGTGAGCATCTGAGCCCTGGCCAATTTTCTTACTCATCCTTTCTGTACCTCGTAGATAGTACTTGAGTTATATCATCTGACTGGAAACAGACGTCTACACAGCTGCTACCGTTCTAATCGCCGGACGCCTCTGCCCAGCCATCCTGGAAGAAGTCACCGAGCCCGCCATTACTGAAAGCTGGGACCATGCCCTCGAGATCCTTCGCAGATACCACAGCTATAGCACCTCTGCCCGTCGATGTGTTGCCGCGTTAGAGATACTGTACGAGCGCGTGGTGTCCGAGGGCGGCTCGACGGACCAGGAGGTGCCTGCCCAGACCGTTCCGACGGGGTCTTCCACGTCGAATGGGTTCGGAGATGTGTCACTGGGGGAGGGATTCAACACCGGTTTGTTTGAGGGCATTGATCTCTTGGACTTCCAGGATATGTCGTGGTTGAACAGCGTCCCGAGTAATTTATTCTGAGCGGGGCTCGGGTGACCGAGAGTATTGGCTTGGATGCTACTTTTGGACCTTACAGTGATTTCCTAGCATTACTACTTTTGCGCTTTAACTTCTGCTATTATAGCAGCGATATACCCCGCATACTGCGTTTCTCTTACATACCTCACTCTAGCCGCCTTGGCAATGAGAAGCACACGGCTCAATCCACCCGTTTAGGCTCGAGTTGCCTTGATACAACAACTTCCCCAGTCACAACTGGACACCCCCTCTTCTACTTGCCGACTTCTCTGGCCGAAGACCGAGCTAACGAAGGATACTTTCGGTGGCCCATGCCCTGAACCCCAAGTCTGCCCAAGTCTGCCAACAAGCTTCAGTCAGCCAAGCCCGTACGGATGACATGATTCTTCGTTCATTTGACCAAGACGATAACCAAGAACTGTCGCTTGTTGCTTATCAGCACTTTGTTCTCGAGGTTTTCAACCACTCTACAATTTTACAGAGGGCAGCATAGAGCAGTCGGGCGAACACAAATGTCGTCTATCCCTGTGTTTTGTTGTACTGTACACACACTGCCACCAACCCCAACATAGCAGGGGTCAATGCCCTGCATAAACTACGTCCAAAGTCCTGGGGGATAAATGCGGGGTTGCATCACGTCACGCAAGGTTCTCTCGCTATTCCTATTGCTCGGACTTGCTCCGGACTGGTTGTTTAGCCTGCCATCCTGGTCATTGTGGGGCTAGTGGGACAACCCCGGATTGCGGAGGAACGGCATGTGGGGGTCAAGATCCAATTTGACTGACCCGTGAGCCGGCACTCACTCCATCGCCATCTACCTATGTATCGACTCCTCATTCACTCACAGTACCGCCCTCTCCTAGAATCTGCACATGACCGTCATGATCAAGTCGTGTTCAGGTTTATTCGCCGACATTGACCCGCTAGTCAGGCAATGGGTGCGGGATATCCGGAGTTCCCCTGCGGTCCTGACAAATGCTTTTCCTTCTGTATACCTTGCTGGGAAGGTCAGGCTGAGGTATAAATACCACCATGAAGTCGCTCGGAGAGAGTGTAGAACCAGGCAGCACAGAGGCAGTACAGAGGCAGCAGAATGCACAGCTTAGGATCCTTGATCGCCCTCCTGGGCGGTCTTTCTCTTTGCTCCGCTGCACCAACTGAGCAGAACGTCACCAGCGATACCTACTTCTACGGCGCTTCTCCGCCAGTTTACCCTTCCCGTATGGTTACCCATGATCCTTTCCTTTGTCACTCACTCCTAACGCAGCACTTCAGCCGAGGGTACCGGTACCGGTGGATGGGCTGCAGCCTACGAGAAAGCAAAGAGCTTCGTCGCCCAGCTCACAGACGAGGAGAAAGTCAACTTCACGGCAGGCTACAGTGCCAGCAATGGGTGCTCGGGCAATATTCCAGCAGTCTCCCGGCTAGGCTTTCCCGGCTACTGTGTGTCGGATGCAGGGAATGGGCTGGTATGTGGACCCAGGCAGTATTGAAGCTTTCTTTTCTAAAGCATAGTACACAGCGTGGAACGGACTTCGTAAATGGTTGGGCCAGTGGCATCCATGTTGGAGCAAGGTACGCATACTTTAGCAGTCGATTGAGTTTCTCAGATTACCTGCTAATTCCTCGGTTCTAGCTGGAACAAAACTCTTGCTCACCAACGGGCTCTGTACATGGGACAAGAGTTTCATCGAAAGGGTGTCAACCTTCTGCTGGGCCCTGTGGTTGGCCCCATCGGTCGTGTCGCGGAAGGCGGGCGGAACTGGGAAGGCTTCTCCACTGATCCCTATCTCAGCGGGGCGCTGGTGTATGAGACAGTCCAGGGTGTGCAGGAGGCCGGTGTTGGTGTCTCTGTGAAGGTTTGTATACTCTCCCTTACTGCTATCTTCACCACAAGAGGATGCTAACGACTCACCCAAAGCACTACATCGGAAACGAGCAAGAGACCAACAGAAATCCCGAGACAGAGAACGGAATCACCGTTGCTTCGGTATCCTCGAACATCGACGATAAGACCATTCATGAACTCTACCTCTGGCCCTTCCAAGATGCTGTGCTGGCGGGAAGCGTCTCTGTTATGTGCTCATACAACCGAGTTAACAACTCCTACGCATGCCAGAACAGCAAGACGCTGAACGGACTATTGAAGACTGAACTCGGCTTCCAAGGTCAGACACCTAGATTGTTCACTACTGAGCACCGTTGCTAATATGTAGAAGGCTACGTTGTTACTGACTGGGGTGCGCAACACGCCGGGATCGCTGGTGCTAATGCCGGGCTGGACATGGTCATGCCACGTACTACCACTTGGGGCTCTAATCTCACTACCGCTATTGCCAATGGTAGTATGGAAGCATCAAGGCTCGACGACATGGTTACCAGGTAAGCCAGGCCACATTTACTAATTGATTCTTCACTGACCCAGCCAGAATCGTCGCGTCCTGGTATCAAATGAACCAAGACACCGATTTCCCCTCTCCTGGAATCGGCATGCCCGAAGATGTCTATTCCGAGCACGAAATTGTCATCGGAACTTCCGCCGACGAAAAGGACGCTCTACTCCAAAGCGCAATTGAGGGTCATGTCCTTGTCAAGAACAAGAATTCTGCGCTACCCCTCCATTCGCCCCGCCTAGTTTCCGTGTTCGGATACGATGCCAAAGCCCCTGAGTCCACCCGCTTAACCCTTTCCTTTGACAGAGTCATGCCGGCCATCCAGAACTACACCCTCTGGGTTGGCGGCGGCTCCGGCTCGAACAGCCCAGCCTATATTATCGCGCCTCTCGACGCCATTCAGCAACAAGCCTATGAAGACAATACCGCAGTACTATGGGACGTGAGCTCCAATGACCCGGACGTTGACCCCGCCTCCTCCGCCTGCCTCGTCTTCATCAACAGCTACGCGTCCGAAGGCGGCGACCGGTCGGGTCTCGTTGACGCGGACAGCGACATGCTCGTAAGCAACGTCGCCAACCAATGCAACAACACGATCGTCGTGATCCACAACGCAGGCATTCGCCTCGTCTACGACTGGATCGACCACGAAAATGTCACTGCTGTAATCCTCGCCCACCTTCCTGGTCAAGACACCGGCACAGCCATTGTCGACCTGCTGTACGGCCGTGCCAACCCCTCCGGCCGACTACCCTACACAGTTGCCAAGCAGGCATCCGACTACGGTGCTGTCTTGCACCCGGTCCAGCCTGTGGCGCCGTACGGCCTCTTCCCACAGGACGACTTCACCGAGGGCGTCTACATCGACTACCGCGCCTTTGACAAGGAGAACATCACCCCGCAGTTCGAGTTTGGGTTCGGCCTCTCGTATACTACATTCAATTATTCCGGGCTGAATATCCAAAGGACATCGGTCGAGGCGACACAGTACCCACCAACTGCCGACATCCAGGAAGGAGGTAACCCGCGTCTGTGGGATGTGCTCGCCAATGTCACAGCGCAGGTGCAGAATTCTGGGACTGTGGACGGGGCGGAGGTCACGCAGCTGTATGTGGGGATCCCCAATGGGCCAGTTCGGCAGCTGCGTGGGTTTGACAAGGTCAATGTCCCTGTGGGCGAGACGGTGGCTGTGTCATTTTCCCTGACGCGGCGCGACCTGAGTACGTGGAATGTTGAGGCGCAGGCGTGGGAGCTGCAGACGGGAAATTATCAGGTGTATGTGGGGCGGTCGAGTCGGGATCTGCCTCTCACGGGCGAGTTGACATTGACCGTGTAGTTTCGTTCTATGTAGGCTGGTCAGATGTGGGGCTAGGAGACGTTCTTGAGAGAGATATAACCCCAATGAATCATTCCTATCTAACGTTTGCACCTAATGACGTAGCGAGCACTGACATCTGAGCCTCCACGATTGTCACCAACAGCGATCACACCAGACACATTCCCTAATTCCCAACTCCAGTAATAACCCTCCTCAACTCCTCGGCATCAACATCCCCCTCCACCAACCCGCGGAACACGCCCCCCTCCCTGGCCAACAACTCCCTCGGCGTCCCAAACTCCACCACCCGCCCGGCATCCATAACAACCACCTGATCAAAGTCGGCGATCGTGCGTATCCGATGCGCAATCACCAACAACGTTGTCCGGCTGCCAGCCCTACCACTACCCAAGAACCCATCCCGAATCGACCGCTGAATGACCTCATCCGTCGCGCGATCCACAGCCGACGTCGCCTCATCCATCACCACCACCGCCGGACAAGCGAGCATCGCCCGCGCCAGGCAGAGGAGCTGCCGCTGGCCGTGCGAGAAGTTCGTTCCGCCCGGGGAGACCTTCTCCCCCAGTACCTTACTGGCCTGTGGGCTGCGCAGCGGGCTCTCTTGCGGATGCAGACAGGTTGAGGTTGATGACGATGAGGAGGAAGACCAATGGACCTGCCGCAACGCCCGTAGCACCGCGTCGTCGTCGTACTCGTCGAACGGATCCAGATTCGAGCGGATCGTGCCTGTGAACAGCACGGGGTTCTGCGGGACCATGGCCATTCGCGAGCGGAGGGTGGATAGTGGGATTGTGGCGATGTCAAGATTGTCGATCGTGATGCTACCACTACTCGCGCTTCCGCGGCTCGAGTTGGGGGACGGGGACGGGGACGGGGACGGGGCCAGGAAGCGGAAGATGGCCAGCGCGAGGCTGGATTTGCCGGCGCCGGTGCGGCCGACGATTCCGATTCTTTGGCCGGCGGCGATGTGCAAGTTGACGTTGTGGAGGACGGGTGCGGTCGTTGGGGTGTAGGAGGCTGTGAGGTTGGTTATGGTTATGGTTCCGGTTTGTGGCCATTCGGGAGGCGGGATGATTGTTGGATCGGTGGAGGGTGGCTCCTCGGTAGGGATGTCGGAGTACTCGAGAATGCGCTCGACGGCGTTGAGGTCCATTTCCAGGGTCGAGTAGGCGCGGCTCAGCGAGACGAGGGCGAAGGAGAGGTGGTTGGTGAAGACGAGGGCGAAGCCGGCCATCGCGCCGGTGATGTCCGCGCGGTTGACGACGGCGAGGGCGGTCACGGTCGAGAACACGGCGCCCAGCAGGTTGATCCGGAAGGTGAACCAGCGGTTGAAGAGGTAGAGGTGCCACGAGGCCTGTGCTTGGCGGTTGAGCTTGTCGTGCAGCTGTGCGATGTACCGCTTTCTCTGGTTGAAGGCCCGGATGGTGCTGATCCCTTGCAGGCAGGTGGCGATCTGCTCGTAGACCGGGCTGCGCGAGACGCTTTCCAGGCGTTTGATCTCCCGCGCGGCCGAGAGGTACCGCTTCGTGTACCACGTTGCTGCTGCGGCGAGGAGCCCGGCGAAGATGAGAAGGATCGGGCGCACGACCACTCCGCCGGTGATCACGCCGATGCAGTCCATGCCTGCGTTCAGAACGGCGGTCAGGTCGAAGCCCAGGCGTGAGTCTATGAGGTAGAAGTCGGCGGTGAAGCGGTTGAGGAGTCTTCCTGAGGGCACTTTGTCGAGCCAGAGCAAGGGGGCGCGAAGGACCACGGAGAGTAGTTGGCGAAAGAGGCGAGATGCCGCGGTCAGTGAGGTTCGGAGAGCAATGTACGCGCGCAGTGAGCCGGCGAGACATGACAGGATGGCGATCGCGGTGTACATGCCGAGGTAGTATGCCGTATCGCTGCCACCTGTGCCAGTGCCTTGGGCGATTCCATCCCTGCTCCAGATTTGAATCCACCAGTACTGATGACGAGGGTTAGTTTAGTGCGTGGTATGAGGACCCGACACATACCTGAGACAGCTGTAATATGTTGTACATCACGTAACACGCGGCGAGAACAGCCCACGATGCCCATCCACCGCTCGTCTGGATGTACCTCCGAAACAACCACCACTGGAGGGCGCCCTCGGCTCGAGACTCTTCATCAACAAATCTTTTAAGCACGGTAGGACTGCCAATGTCATCTGCACCACCATCTTGGCCATCAGTCTTGCCATCAACCGTTTCGTCTTGTTCTTCGCTTATGGGTAGTCCCCGTTGCAAGGAGCTGTTTTCTTTTTCAGAGTGGGATTGAATCACTGAGTGTGCATATTTGACGGTCTCATTCTCAAGCTCGACCAAATAGTCAGCCTTGGAAGAGCAAAGGTCCACATTGTGTGTGACCAAGATTCTTGTTCGTCCCTCACCAAGCTCCCCAGTGATGGCATGCTTGAAGAGATGGCTTGCGGTGTGCACATCCACGGCACTGAAGATATCATCCAGCAGTAGAATCCCGGCCCGCGAATACAGAGCGCGCGCTAGACCAATGCGCACCTTCTGCCCACCGCTGAGGTTGACTCCACTTGGCCCGATCTCGGTAAGATCCCGATCATCCAACAGGTCCAGATCCTGCATGAGAGCGCATGCAAACATCACATGATGATACCTCGCCTGGTGATAGGGTAGGCCGAAGAGGATATTATCTCGAATGGTACCGGCTTCTATCCACGGAGTCTGCGCTACGTAGGCCACTGCTGAGTTGAGACACCAGTCCTCCAGATTGGGTTCTGTGTGGTATATTGCTTCATAAGTCGGGGGAACAGGACGTCGTATTGAACCAGACAGGACCTCGCACTCGCCTAGCATGGAGCTGAGTAGCAGGGTTTTGCCTGATCCAGTGCGGCCGGACACCACGCTCAAGCCTCTCAGAGGGAAGCTGAGCGTCACGCTTCGGAGTATGCCTGACTCTGTTGTAGCTGATATACTGTAAGACACAGTGGCATTCTCCAGTTGTATCGAGCGGAAAGGCGTGGTGTTTCCCGTCGCTTCAGCCGAGTTCAAGAACTTTGCCATTCGTCCGATGCTCACCTTCGCACCCACGAGACCGGAAAGTAGTTCGGGTATGAGGCCTAGGATGAATTGGATATACCCGAGCGTTGACAAAGCTGGGAAAGCGACGGATGGCGTAAGTGGGCCTTGCTTCCAGCTATAGACACTCAAGGAGACGGCTGAGACCATGACTGGCCCAAGCAGGTGGATCGAGAGGTTGATTACATGCCAGATGAATGCTCTCTTCTGAGCTTCTACCTCACGATCGCGAAGAAAGTTCATCCTGCGTTCCCATTTGACCTCGAGTCCCGCAAACTTCACTTGGCGAATACCCTGCAAAACCTCGGTCAGAGTCGACACCTTCTTGTCGCGGCTAAGCATGAGGTCTTTCTCGACAGCCGAGTATTTCGACAAGCAGAGCGAATGGAGTGGATAGAAGAGGGCAAGGCAGGTCAGTCCCGCAAGCAAGCTTGGCCAACCCAGAAGGTGAGCCAAGAAGGTACACGCTACGGCGAGCTTTAGTGCCTGGAGAAGGTTCGAATAGAGAAACCCCGCCACAATCGCAATGCGTGACGCATCGATGGCCACCAGGTTGATCACGTTCTGGGTACTGTCCGGTGAAGCCTTGTCATTGCCCTCGCCAGCGGAAAACTGCAAACTCAAGCGCATTGACTTGCTGAAAGCTGCGGCAGATAGCTGCGTCGTCAATGGCACTGAGATCCAATTCATGGCGGTCCACAGGAGCCAGTTCTCAAGCCACGAAGATACTCCAATGCCGAGGCCAAGTATCAGGGCCCAGGTATTGAGTCCATCGTGTTCCGCTGCATCTGCATCCAGGAGTCGTAGTATTTCGCGTAGTGCTAGCTGTGGAGTAAAGGCTAGAACTGCCAGTGGTACGGATAGCAGGATCTGATGGACCAACTCCCTCCAATATAGCGATAGAAGTCCTCTCACTAACTTTGATGGAGTCGGTCCAGACGCGTTAAGTTCACCTTGCATTTTCATAAAGTCAATCTGCAAATTGCTTGCTCGCAATTTGTCGCTCAACTCCGGAAGGTTATCCAGGCTGATGGATGTATTCGAGGCCGAGAGTGAGACGAGCGAGGTCGCCCAGTGGAATGAAAATCGCCCAAGAACAGATGATGTTTCTTCCTCGTCAATTGGTCTTCCATTGCGGAACGCTCGGGCCTTGCGCGGATAAGACAGAGATGTGAGAACCACAATAATCCCCAAGATGCAGACCAGCCACGCGAGAGCCGATGCAGCAGGTGGTTGTTCTGCCATGTCTCTCCGAAGTGTGTTCTCCAGGATCATATGCCCAATGATCAAGCCAGCAGCCAGTCCTCCCTTCCAAGTCGCAGGGTATCGGATTGGGAGAGAGGCTTCGCCTCGGACATAGTTCCATTGTAGAGAGAGCAGGAGCTAGGATACACTAACTTAGCATTGAAACAACTCGAAGGGTAATTGTAACTCTTACCCATGATATCAGTCGTATCGACCATGTCACTCTATCGAAACCGTTCCTGGCGAATACGGCTCGCACAAGAGATGCAGCACAGACGCACGCATTTGTGGTCAGCAATAGGTACGATCGAGGGTCGTGGCGAAATCCTCCTAACAGGCCTATGGAAGCATTGCGAGAGGCTCCCACTCTCTGATAGCCGTCAAAGAGCGCGGTTGGCGAACATCCTTTAGAAGCACAGTGAAGAGCATCCCTCAGAGCGGGGAAGCATACGATGGTGACCAAGGCTGCAATGAGCAAATTCAATACAAGGCTAAGGGCGTCGGGAAGAGACATGATGCAGTTTTAGCCATTGTGACTGTCCTCGATGATGCACTTGTGTCCCGGTGTTTTCATTCCAGACGCGACCCCGAGCAAGGGGGATCAACAAGGAGTTATCGCGCACTTGGGAGAGATTCATCATGAGGGGAGTGAGGAATTATCGTCGATTTACTTCCCCGCAGTGAAGGATTCATGAAAATTACCACTACGTCAAGTAGAGAGTAATTACTGGTGTTGATCGTTGTATTGTATTCATGACGGTAAGCAGACAGACTGGAGTAGATAGAAGAAATCCCTCTTCGGGTAATGTCGGAGGAGACTGCCGTGCAGTGTTCACCGCCCGGCAGATGATGGATCATGGCCTCAGGCAGCAGGGACGACAGTGCGTACGGAAACCCGCAGCGCTGAGGGGCTCGTGCCCAATCAAAAGTTGGCAGGCTATCAGATGGCCCGATGGCCCGATCAGATTAGATAAATCCGAAGTCGGCTTTCACCCGCCATTCCATCCGCACTCACACAAATACCTCCTCCTACCCCTAGTCTTCCAGCCTGAATCCACTTGGGTGCTGACATTTCTCTTCCGCATGATCTCTGGTCCATGAAAATCTGCGTAGACTGGCTTTGCTCCCTCAATCAAATTACACCAACTCACCGCATTTTCCCTGCCACTTCCCGGCGAGCCGGTTTTCAGTCACAGCGGGTCTCGGACGGTCGAATGGCCGGGCGCAGAGAGGATCTCGTGCGAAAGTCACCTCACCTGGCATGACCCACAATCACCCTTAAGACCCCTCTCTCCCTCTTTCTTCCTTGCTACCCCTCCTTCCAGTCATGTTAACACTCGGTGGGCTGATCCTCCTCACTATCTATAATACCTCGCTCGTTGCCTCCAGCGCCCTCCCCAAGAACGAACGCTGCGTGACTGCGATATACACCGCCTATGGATACATTACCTTCGCCGCGGACCCCGACGTGGGTTTTTGGGAGACCCGGTGTCACAACCCGCTAGAGGTCACCTCCATCTACGCCTCTTCGGACATCTATTGCCGTCCAGCGGAGAGAGAAGCAGGCATCGCACAACTGGAGAGGTCATGCCGAGAGCACGGGGATGTGGATCTGATACCGCGAGAGCAGCTGGCCGAGAACCTCACCAGGGACGCCCTCCGTCGCATGCCAGTTGTCAAGTACTTGGAAATCCCGAAAAAGCATCCTGTCAACACGCCTGTTTTGCTCGCGCCGAGTCACTATGATATTGTCTTTAACACTATTGTGCGTTGTCCCCTCATCGTGTCACCTGCATTCTAACCCATATTATGGCAGGATACCTGGGAGTTCGAAGTTTGGACTCATTACGCTTATGGGTAAGATTGGATATCCCCCTCGGTTGCGAAGCTTCGGCTAACATCGCCAGATTGGCCGGGTACGGGTTCTGGTTATGCATCCTCAGCTCAGGCATTCTCCAGCGACTGGTACATCACATTATTCAATCTCCAGTGGTGCAAGCCACCTATAGGTCTAGCTCAGGACTACGCCGGCTGTGTATGCCCCTACAAAACCTCCGCCACTGGATACAGGTGTATCTGGTGGTGCCTCATCCTCTACGATCCCAGAGCCGCGAACTACTCTGGTGGACCTTTCCAACCCGCCTAGACGCTATTGTTGTGCTTATCTTCTGGGCCTTGAGCATCGCTGTGTGTACTGTGAGCTATCGACTCATCCCAGATAATATCTAGTAAGTCCTTCGACAGAGAAAGCGGGGCTTTAGCTAACTGCTCATCACAGCTGGCCCGATAAACAATCGCAGCTCCTCCGATACGCAGCAGACAGAACGGGCATACTGTCTTTTGCGAACATTCCATTACTCTGGCTCTTTGCCGGTCGCAACAATATCTTCATCTGGGCTACAGGATGGAGCTTTGCCACTTTCAATCTGTTCCACCGCCACGTGGCCTGGATAGCAACCATTCAAGCTGTTGCTCATACTTTTCTTTACCTCTTCATCATGTACGAGAGTAAGTAGGATTCCGCGTGATGCTACTGGGGCGTAGCTGACGATCATCACAGAGGGCAGACTGCTAAAAAAGCTGACGAAACCATATCTGTTATGGGGAACAGGGGTGAGTCTTGATACTTCATCGGATCATCCCACACCGACTGACCTTCATGCAGGCAACATTCCTCATGGTTCTGCTCCTACCATTAGCCATCCAGTGGTTTCGTCACCGATCCTATGAACTATTTCTTATCATACATATTATATTCTCCGTTGGGCTCCTAGTTGGATGTTTTTAGTACGTCCCGTACCATTAATATGTATGCTCTTTACTAACGACGTTCTCATATCAGCCACACTATCATCTTCTCCGACCATGAATACTGGGCCTACCTGTGGCCCGCGGTGGCTATTTGGGCTGTGGACCGAGCACTCCGTGTGACCCGTCTCATTTACTGCAACATTCATGTACGGGTCAATGCCGGAAACAGTATACAGTACAGCAGAAGCATTGCCAGCTACGATGCGTCCGCGGACGTGATCCGACTCGAGATTACCCCGGGCTCGAAGCTTTTGTGCCCTACTTCAGGGCAATATTACTATCTCTACCAACCATTTCGACTGACAGGATGGGAAAGCCACCCCTTCACCCTGGGTCACTGGTTCTACGAAGCCGACTACAAAGATGCATCCCCCACCCCACCACTGACCAAGGGCGACCACAGCATCGATGTGACCCAGGTACCCCTTCTCTCCGACTCCTCCTCCGAGTCGACATCGGCAGAGGCAATCCAACTCAAACACGACGCCCCGCGAGGCTTGAGACTAGTCTTCTGGATCCGACCCTACGACGGATGGACCCGCAAACTCCGCGATCAATGCATTCGGTCCCCAGCTCAGAGCATAGACAGTGCCATTCTTCTGGAAGGCCCCTACGGCGACCAGTTCCCGCTCTGGAATTATGAGTCCGTACTCCTAATAGCTGGCGGAACCGGCATCGCCGCGATTATCCCCTACATCCATGGACACCTCTTACGCACGGCAGAAGACCCCGATCAAGCATCTACCCAGATTCGAGATATGCAACTCGTCTGGGTCGCGCGACAGGCCGCATTTATCCGACAGCTTGCAGCCCGCGAGTTAGCACCGGCACTGATACGCGATGACTTCCGGGCTTCGTTCTATGCCACTGCCAAGCAAACTCCACACGACCCGGATCGGTTCGAGTCCATGGATGAGTTGGAGATAGCACAGGGACGACCGAACGTGGAAAGCCTTGTCTTAGCGCATGCACATGCAGCGCAGCTCAGTGAGTCGTCTGTGGCCGTGTTGGTGTGCGGTCCGACAGCCTTGGCAGATCAGACTCGGGCTGCGGTCTGCTTGGCTCTACAGCGGGGGTATCGAGGGATCCGCTATGTGGAGGAGTCGTTTAGTTGGTAATGTGTCACGATTCATGACTATTGTTTGTATGTGACTCCGCGCGCTTGTACATAATGACTGCTTAGATATCGGATTCTGGACTATTAGATTTGGTGGTTGACTTACTCAAGATGGTGAATAATGTTGCAGATACTTGGAACACAAGTAGTAATGAATGCTTCTATACCCCAACGGTTGTGTATGGAGAGGTAATTGGTGCTATGAGGAGAGGAGCGAAGGAGTTATTTATTTCGTCATGTCTTGGGGGACTGGCATTAGTGAAGTATGCATATAGTATATTTGCCTAGATTGTCCAGCAAGTACTTACGTGAAGTATGAACAAAAGGCCAAGTCTCCATATTATATGACGATTGACAAGGTAACTCAAGACTGTTTAAGTACTCAGAATCGAGTGAATCTCATGGAGACAGAAAGAAATGTGGATACCCACAGCAGTAACTTGTGCCATAAGAGATAATTGAATTATACCAGCGGTATATGATTCACTCTACAAGTTGTCTTCACCTTTCCCCTGATCCTCTCATTATAAGCATCGCACACTCTTCTTTCTCCATCTACATCTATCCCATCCGGTCTGACAAGTTAACCTCAAGCTTCACCCCAAACACCTCCTCTTTACATGATATCAAAGCCCAGAGCTGAACTGCTATTACTAAAAGATACCCGTCTATATGGCATGCTAACAGGGTATCGGATACCTTTTCTCCTAGAGCAGGAAATGGTATCAATACATCATTACTGTCTACCCTTTCTATCCAAGCACGCCTGCCCTAACGGATCGCAAATAACAAAGCCGTCGCAACAGGTCCAACGCCCTGATCCATACTACTAGGACTACTACTGCTATATCTCTCCTTCTTCGTCCACGCATCAGTGCAGAAATTATCTGTACTCCAGTCAATCATTTACACTGAATTGAGGAAGACTTCAAGCGACTGAGGTAGCTACCTCAGCCATTCTCCTCGTTGCGATTCTGTCCCTTGGAAAGAGTATCTGTTCGACTTTACGCAGTGCTCGGTCGCTGTGGTTGCGGCACCGAGTCTGGCTGGAAGTGGGCTTGTAACCTACGGTAATTAAAGTCTGTTCGGCTCCTGTTCATTTTATGTGGTATGAACGACAGGGCGAGTGATGTTATCTTCTATTGGGTTTCCCCACTGGGTTTTGCTTTTGTTTCTGTCACCTATCGACTACTTTTACATGGTTTGAAGCGTCTTCTAAGCTTCATTTCGTGCCGTGCTTGCACGTATGCACATGATGCTTTGATACAAAACTCGGACCAAACAAAACCAACCGGATTTTAGACGGAGCTGCTTAATTTAGCGAGGATTGGTCAATGTATGGCCACCGTGTGATATGCGACTGTGAATGGACCTCACAAAGAGCCAACCATTACAGTGGATATGACACTCCAATCTTGAGCCACCGGCAACCACAAATCGTGGTGCATAGTGCTGATTGTTGAAGTACAATCTAACATAAATGCTCTATGACCTGATACTAAGGGATCAACTGTTAGAAACGCATTTATGACGCGGTACAAGATTGCCTATGAAACGGCACCATCGACAGCGAGATACAGAGGACACCATCGAGTTCCTAGCCGCTTTTACAGACATTGCTTTCAAAGGGCAAACTTGTATCTGAGAGCGGAGGTCTATTCATCTGCACTCAGAATCAATACTGCACCAGCTAGGCAAAAGCACTGATAATTATATACTGCAACCACTGACATCCAACAGTGATATGCCGACTCAGGTATCTGGGAAATCATGACCTTAGCATGTGAAGGACAGCAATGATAACAGCGATCGCGATGTCAACATAACTCAACTGATTATTCCGTGCGGGATGACGATTGATGCACTATGTTGAAGTACTGGGATCACGCATGTCGAACCGGTAATCCCCTACAGAGCTCATCCCAATCGAGGAGAAAAGCAACTATGATGGCCAACACTCACAGTGCTGGCATCGCATCAGAATAAGTCTGAGCCTTCAACTCGGGGACTGGCAGCTGTCTAGAGAGAACATCTTGAACCGCTTTGAAAAGATGAATTCCCACTATACAGTACAGAAGTCCCCGCCGAACAAAATGGACAGTTTCGTGGTCTACTTCTTATTGTCCATGATCAAGAGCCAGTCGAGGGAACAGTATATTGATCGATCGTGTGCTTATGGACGACACCATGGTTCATCGTTGTGGTGTAACCCTAAAGAGATCTATATCATTGTAGGGTCACAGGATACTTAGGAGAGTGGATCGACATCTCCTGCCTCAATGTTGCTCAGCAGGACGATGACCTATTTCGATAATGTATGGAGGAATTTTGGCAGCCCTGCTCTCAGAGAGACACCTCAAGCCTAAGGTCACTTGGCCTAAACTACATTATCAGCGGCGCGGCAGCTGCTCTCTCATACAAAGTGACGAATAGTTTCTCCATAATCTGGGTGATTCGGCCGTAGTCGATTGCTTCCTACCCACGAGGATACTGAACCCGGCCGATGGTGATCGGATGAGTGATGACTCTTCATTGCTAGTTAAGCCAGTTCTAACAAGAAAGACACATGTATCTACTTCTACGGACCAAATTCATCATTAAGAATCAATTGAATGCTCGATCTCCGCATTTTCTTTCTCTATCTGGAGGTTTCATTACTGTGGATCACTCTGCTGCATTCCCTCGGGCTTCACGGTATACCCCCGAGTATAAGGTTGGATCAGAGCCGTCATTGATCGGATGGTCTGTGGTTTGGTTTTCTCTTTGGCCATCAAAAGTGGTACTCATAATCTCTAGGAGATACCGCGAACCTGCAGCTGGCATTCTTGGAAAACATGCATTCCTTATCTGTTCGGAGAGTCGGTTCTCTCCAGCACAAACATAAACCTCCACACACATAATGGACCTGCTAACAACCATAACGCGCTTCTCATGGTTAGTTTATCCAGTTCAAGTCTCAGTCAAGATTAATACCGTTGGGAAGTAATGGTAGATTGCATGCCAGTCGCTGAGCTTCACGAGCCGTGGTGAAGACTCTTCCAGGCAGGCTTCCAGAACAACTGGGACGGTGTGAGCAGCTTTGAGTGCGCAACTCAAACTTTGATACATAGGATTGGCGACATTCCCGGCTCAGATATTATGCAGTCCTTTCTTGTCGAGGCAGCCGATGTCTGCAAACTCTGAATTACTGGCAGAATGTGACTGTAGCGTCTTCGATCACGGATTTTCCGATCCTGTTCCATGCGCGTTGGCGAGCCGATGGCTCGATCACCGAGTTGACTCCCCGCTATGGAGAAAAGGATTGTCCCCATCCCCCCGGGGGTATGCCATAAAGTATGACCGTCGCATATGATATCAACGGCCAGATGGACTCTCATCGTCTGGTGACAGGTATTAGTAAAGGCCAGCTCGGAACTTGATCTTGTAATGACGGCAAAGGACATGTGTTTTTCGATCGACGGGAAATGAAAAGTAGTCTCATGAGCGTAGAAACTGGTGGTATCTCCTGAAGGTATCCTGGTTTGTCGGAGGTTCCTTAGGTAGTAAAGTCTGCCACCTCAGGTATACCTCTTTCGTGATCAGCCTTAGGTAAGCATGTGCTCCATCTCGCCGTCCATTGTTCTGTGCAGCTTCCTCCATTCGAGAACAGCAAGCTAATATAAGCATTGAATATGAGAGCACTGCACCCCACACGGACTTGCCTTCGGCCTTGGAATAAGGGCCTGCTCTTTTCTAGGAGCCAAGGGTAGTGAAGTCTCAGGTGTTGTCGCGAAAAGACCAGCTTTCCTAGGGAACATCCTCTGGCTCATCATGCTCATGGCAACACTCCAAAGTCTGGTAACTTGTAATAAGAACTATACCGCAGTCTCTCAGCGGTCCAGTGACTATCGGATGGTTTTTGCGAGCTTTTGTGGCGATGATCAAGCCGGCTGATGCAACTCTCGCCGCCGACCTCCATAGCACATCAAGACATGGAACTGAGATGGTGTCGCAAGAATTTCCTCGCCTGCGAGTCGAATAGGTGGAAAGATCGAGTTTCCTTTGGATTGCTCTTGACTCTGAGAATTTGTCATCTGCCTTCTCGTCTATCGAACGAAGTATGAAGAAATATGAAGCTGTATAGCTACGAGGCAGGAGGTGGAGGAAGAAAAGAAGGCTGGGAAGGAAAGGGAGAATACGGTTGAAGAACGGAATATTGCAAAAAGGTTAATGGTATGAGATTTCCATCAAGTGTTGTCTGAATCCAAAAGGCTGACTTCCCAGGTGAATATCCCAGTTGACAGTGATCAGTGAATAACCTTGCTAGGCGTCTGCGTCCGCATTGGTGGACTCCACCGGCACGATATCAGCACTTGGCTCGAAGGAAACGGTATATTCGGGCCACCGCCGTGGAGGACTGGTCGTGAACCCGAACTCCAGCTGGCACAGCCGCAGAATCCATTTGGCCTCCTCCTCGGGGTTGTTGACGATGCCGATCCAGCCAATCAGGGGCACGAGCATTTCAGTGTCCCCCTTCTTCTCCGAGTGCAGCATGACCGAGGTTGCGGTGTACCTCGGCGTGAGCAAGTACGAGTTCACAAGGGGGTCATCCGGGTTCATGGCCTCGATGGCAATCTGGTCAGCCTTGGGGATATTGCTCAGCCACACCGCAGCGTGCTGGAAGGTCTCCCCCGGACGTCCTCGGACCAGAACCTTCTTGCGCTCCGCTCTGTTGGTGGGAATCTGGTGGTTTACCCGCCAGCGCACCCCGAACGCGTAGCGTATATAGCTGGTGCAGTTGAGGGGGTAGCGCGCGGCGCCCCAGATCCCGCTGCCGGCGAGGATGAACGGCCACCCGTACTTGCGGGTGATGGCGAGCTCCTTGATGGTCTTCCAAGCGTTACCATAGGTGGTCATGAGCTGTGGGTCGGCCAGGATCACGCCGTGGATGTTGTCCCTGGCCTCCACGACTAGCGCCACTAGGTTATCGATGCTCTCCGCACGGCAGACGATGGCGCGGGCTTCCAATAGCTTCATCACGGCAGCGACGTGCGGTGAGGGATGGAGTCCAAAGAATACCACAATTATGACCGGTATGTAGATCTTCACGGCCACGGGTGCCGCATCCGGGGATTCATGCAGAGTATCGCCGCGCTCGTTGAGCCGGCCATTTACTGCATCCATTTCAGCTTCAGGGACCGGATCCTCGGTTCCCATTATTGGCCTCGGATTGCCGGGGATAACAACGACATCCCGTGCTTCGCCAGGGCCCCAAAAGGGTTGGGTAACCATGGTGTTTCCAGTAGAAGTGGGGTACTGATCTATGATTGACAGTGATCGTCTGCTAGCACATTACTAGCATGGATGCATAATGAGCTATTTATAGTGGAATATTGCTCCTTCAAAGTGATAGCAGTTAGCGGGAGGACTCGAGAGAGTACAAGGGCAACGGTGCTCCTGAAGGGCTTCAGGACGGGTACCTTTGTTGCCACAACAAACGAGTCTAAGCTTCCTGATAATGAACGGAACTTCCCGCCAGAGATAGTCGGATATGATGAGGATTGAAAGATAAGAATATTGGGCACTTCGCTAATTGACTAATGATGTTGTTGCTCTGAGGGTCGGAGAGCAATTGTCTCTGACGACGTTCGCTCTGAGGGTCGACGTGAAAGAGGCAGTTTCCCTCTTTGTGCGTCTTCTATCCTTTCAGAAAGCGCAAACCTCAGCATCCCGAATCATCGCGATACTGAAACTAGCTTCTACTGGGGCTCGAGACAAACATGCTGGGACGGGCAATGATTCCAATTCTGTCTCAAATTTCCCATCTAAGACTCTTTGAGAATTAAAATCAGCATGTCTGAGGTGTGTATCATGCAAGTTTTTTTGACAAAGAGTCTGTTTCGTTGATGGAGTGAGGAGCATGTCGTTGACGAGGACTTGCGAAGAGTGACTTGCCGTAAAAGGCGATTTTCCTCTTTGGAATATGTGGCGACATGGCATCCTGCTGATATGCTTTGTGCTTTTCATTTGATGTCTGCTCCACAAACTCTGCAGGCAGCTCAAACACGGGTTCGGGCAAAGTTTCGAATATCTGGGGTATGGGGGATAGCGGGGTCTAGGTCTTTACAATGGCGGTTCCCTCAAGTGGAGCTACCCCATGCAGTTTGTAGTGCATTAATAGTGCTTGCTGTAGGCCATGCATAGTCCCATTCCAGCCCTTCCAGTAGTCGAATCAATGCACTCTGTTCGCCAGGATCGGTGAAATATTCTCCGCATATGGAAATCCCTACCATTGCCGTGACAAGGGCAGCCGGACAAGGGGGGTTCGAGACCGCCAATCCACACAAACGCCGTGTGCAATCCTGCAGCTCTTGGACTACGGCTTTGTCCCTCGACAGAGCACCGAGTCCAAGCCGCGACGCCCGCCGGGGGTCAGACACCGCCAGCAGAATACGACCGAGTTCAATATGCTGCGCTCCCGCTACTTGGCAGCCGTTCATGTGCCAAATCTCAGGAAAGTGTTTTCCGACCGTCGGCTCCCGATCGCGATAATGTATAGGCTTATAGGGCGCGGGCTTTGCCTCCTTCCAGCGCTCCTCGACGGTCTTTAACTTGGACCAGCGCTGAAAACGCTCCTCTGCGCTCCAGCGGTGATTGTCACCAAAGCAAAACAATAAAAGATCAGCCACCCATACAAGTATCCTGTTGGTCCAAATATAATCATTCACTGGGTCGCACATAGTGTAATCATTGGCTGGAGAGACCGGTAGCCTAAATTCTCGTTGGTGGAGGAAGGCACTCCAGATCTCTTGGCGGAGAGCACTCAAAGCAGCAGAATGGCGTAACGAGACAGACGGACAGGCATGTACGTTGATATCTCGACTTGGGCCATGGATCTTGAACCAGGCATAAAACGATTCGTCTTGTTGTGTATTCACATTAAACTGAATTGCATTCAGGTACGCTTCCGAGTCACCTAGTGACGGAGCTAGATTGAAACCAGTATCAGCATGTTGCACTCGGGTACATGGAATACATTTCTCTCACCTTCTATTTGTTCGTAGAATCTGAGGATCGTAGCAGCCGTGAGCACATCTTCGTTGTACTCTTCCTCCGGGTCATGTGATATCTCAAATAGATACGAGATGCAAATGTCGTGATACCGGATCGCCGTCTCAGGACTCAGCAGAGACTGAACCTCTTCCGGAATACCAAGAGTCTCCAAGGACTTGCCACAGGATGCTAGCCGATTGAGATGACCCGCAGAAGCCGTATATACCGCGTATCGAAGGACCGGACAGAACATGGCTCGCTCGGGGACATGAAGCGCAAAGTGGCGATCGCGGTCACTGGCATCAAACTGGATCGGTTAGTCGCTTGTCGGTGTTTGCTGCTGATAGCCGGTGGTGCGCGTACCCATTGAGCCAGATTCTGGGTAAAATGCCGTAGCAAACAAGCCTCCTCGAGGTTCAGGTATGCAACGTCGGAATGTGAAGTTGGCAGCCCGTGTAGGGGCCCGGGCGGATATTTGCTCCTCTCTGATGCGCCCAGTGTGACCGTTAGGGATTGATTCCGCATGTTTGTGTGCTCCACCGAATCAGAAGACGATCGAGCTGCAACCTTGTCTGGTATCGTTGTTTCCAAAGCTGCTGTAGACGGAGATCGACCGTCATACCGATTGCCCTCTGGACATGACAAAGACTGTGGACGAAGGGGAACTTCTTGACTTCCATTACTAGAGACTTTCACCTTTTTGGTCAATCTATCACCGACCGCACTCGCAGCACTTGTGTTTCGATGCTCTTCGGAGTCGGAAGTGGCTCTCTCCCGCGAAACATGGGGCGTCATATCGACATACGTCAAACGGCCTAAGCTATGAGTATCTATCACAGATGCTTTCTCCTTACATCCGAAGATACGTACGTCTTTTCTTCGACTGGACCCATGTCTGATCGGGTGCGAAATCGAACGTCTGCCGGCGCCGAGGAACGGAGCGGAAGCGGATTTTCGGGGGCGCAGGATCGCACTGGGCTCTGGGCTTCTGGCAGGTCTGACATGGCGTATCCACAGTGCCTAAGATCATAAGTATTAGCCATGTAGCTTTTGTAGACTCCAATGCTGCTGCTATGTCGCATCTTATGTTCATGATCTAGCAATAGTAATGGGGGTGAAGAAACCAGCAATTGCTTGGCAGCGGGGTTGACTCACCTTTGCAGCGTACGCATGATTGCGCGGACGCGGTCAACGTCGCCATGATAGGATATGGCTAGCGCAGGATCATAGGAGGCGCATAATTGTGAGGGTATTCTTGGTAGATGATAGATGTTGAAGGAGGTGGTGAGGGGTGAGGATGAAAGGAAGATGGAAACGATGTGTGATGCGCATGCGGGGAAGCAGCCAAATTCCCCGTTTCGGACAAGCGTGTTGCGGGGACGATGCTCGTATCCTCAGGCACCAATTTATCTCATTCAGGCAACGAATGGGAATAGCTTCAATAATTCGAGCCGGAAAGGAATGCGCCCAGAAGCGGCATCTGCGTCTCCGTCTTTCTCTTTTAAACATCCTTTTTTCTTTGAAATATTATCTTTGCCACGTACAAAATACACCTACGACCAAGGTATAAGTCTAAAGACTGTCATCGGTTAATGTTTTCTGAGATAGAATCTATCTGGATAGAAGGCGACCAAGTCTGTGGCTGTCCGTCCCCTGGTCATTCTCTCTCGTCTAATAATTTGCCTCGGCCTACCATAATGTCTATACACACGTTTCTTCACGAAGATGACTACAGCTGGTAAGGAAGCTATGCGTGTCAACAAACGATCCTCGTCGCCCAAATTCAGCAAGGCAAGAAGCTTTCCTCCGGTAGCCCATCACTTCTCGTTACCGCATGGAGACTTCACCGTGCAGCCCTTTATCTTCTGCCCCATATCAAACGCTTCAACTTCGCGACTATCTGCCTCAGGTCCTTGCTGTCGTCCTTCACCGGACGCTTTCCAGGTGCCAGAGTCACAAATTGATCGCGTCGGATTACGTACCTTTCAACGGCAAACGAGACCTCCTTCAATTTGGGCGCCAAACTCTTCCACATGTCTGTCTCAAACCCAGGTAAATTACTGCACCTGCTGTGCTTGTCCAGATTTATGTTGAGAGTATTGGGAACCCGATGCTCGAATAGAGAAACTCGCCGGGTTTTTCCACACCGGAAGACGAAGACCCGTCCTATTGCTTGATCAAACACTGCACGAGAGGGGGCGGCGAGAACAGGTGAACCTGCCGACACGCCAAGCGTAGATCCAAGTCCAGAGAAAGAACAAGAACCATGCATCCATTGCCACTTGTAGCGGCGAGATCCTTGATGATACTTTCTGGGAGTTAGGATGAAGTATTACAAATGGAATGCCTGTTTCATGAAGGGCTGCACCGACGAAAACTTCTTCTCCGGGGTGGTATGTCCAGATCGCGGCCTTCTCGCGCAGAAGACACCTGATGCTTGAGCGATTCCAAGAGAGAACAGAGCTTCGGTGACCCGCGCAGAAGAAGGTCGAGCCCTTCTGACTTGATTTGCAGAGGATCTCTGTTCCTATTGCTCGGTCCAACGTCCGGTTCTGTTGCTGCTGGCAAGAGTTTCTGATAAAAGCTTTTTCCCTGTTTTCCTGCCAATGGCACTCCGTCTTTCTCCAGAGCGTCCCGGAAGCCCTGAAGCACCTCGCTTCCACCGTTATTGAGAGCCAGAGCCATAATTCCGATCCAGGTTGATTCCATAAGAACTGGAAGAAGTTTTTGCATGTCCCATTTGTAGCGCCAGGAACGTCCAGGGACCGGGTCAAGAGAATCGTACTGGTACTTCTTCGTACAGGGCTGATAAATCTGAAGTTCTGCGTCCTTGCAAGGAGTAATTGTGGGTACCCTTGATGCTGCTGGGTGACACGCACTGAATTTTCGATCTGATTCTAGCTATACGCAAGACGCTACAGTCCGTCGAACCATCAAGTGCTTTAGTATGGCACGCAGGCGAGTTTCACATTGCCGGGTATCACTTTCCAGTGCCATAACATGCTTCGACACAAACTCTCTAAACGATATCGGGGATTGAATGTAGAGATAGTTATAAGGATGGTGAGCTCAGTGAGTCTGAGATATAAGAGGGTATAGAGTCATTGGAAGGATAGAAAACAGAGAAAAACGGGTTCATCAAAGGATGTACACAGGAAGGAAGAGTGCAAGAGTAAGCTGAGGTAAGTGAGTGAGTGTAGCTCAGTGGGTGCGGAGGAAGGAAAGAGGAAGCCTGAGGAGTGCCTGGCCTACGACGGCAACAGGTGAATGACACTACTGGACCTCTTCTAGCACTTTGGCTTTCTGACTATAACATACTTACCACAACCAAATCTACCTCCCAGGTGACTCAATCTCTTACCAGCTATCTCCAACCCTCGCTTTTTTTCTTTTTGGTTGCTTAATCCTACTTCAAACCACAACATCTACTTCAGCACCACAAATCTACTTCAATTTCAGAACATCTGTTTCCATCCATAAAACAAACTTCCCAGCTACATCTCAGCATTCAAATCCACCAGAGCACCTCATATCATCATCACTACTATCCAGAATGGCTGTTACTTGGAACTCAGAAGCCAACGCGCGAGTAAGTCACCCATAATCTAACTTTCTTACCATCATCATCACGCATACTAACCTCTGGACCAACATAACAGCTTTTCCTCGGCGTTTTGACCCAGCTCAAAAACCAAAGCATCAAGCTTAATTACACTGCACTAGCAAATTCTGTGGGCCAGGGTAAGTCCGCCAGTCACTCCGTCGCCAGAGTCTGATACTGACACAGAAGAAGGATGCACCGTCAGAGCCGTGCAGCAGCAGATGGACAAGCTGAAAAAGCAGGTCTCCGATAGTACCAGTAATCCCGGAACCCCCGTCGGCACACCCCGAAAGCAGGCTGCCACGGCTGCCAGCGGTGGTCCCTCCAGTCAGGCTCTTCTATCCGCGAAGCGCAAGGCGGCCCGTATCGCAAAGCCGAAGACTCCGACCAAGAAGAGCAAGAGCGTCTCCAAGGTTGTGGACAAGGAGGAGAGCAGTGAGGAGGACAGTGAGGAGGACGGCGAGGAGGATATCAAGTCCATTTTTAAGGCAGAAGATAGCCAGGAGGATGCAGAGACGATCATCAAGGGGGAGGAGAGTGATGCCAGTGGCAAGACCTACGCCTGATGGCTTGGAGTAGGGACTGTGCTGCTGCTGTTGTTGCCATACTTCTTGTCTTGCCTGCAAGTGCGATTCATTAATTTCTTGGTACTCGGTTAGTAAGGCCAACAAGCAGGACCACATCAATACTGGATGATAATTTCGAAATATCAAGTAGATAGTTGGTCAAGTGGCAGCTAGAAACCTTGGACAGAGGGCATCTAGGAGAACTACATTGCACGCCATACAGAAATAGTGTTCTGGGATACATACGGCTCTTCATAAATTTACTTGTAGGCCTGGGGAGGGTAGTCCAACACATTACCGTCGCATTTTGTACTTATCAATACATTGTTGATTCCTATCTCCATCGAGATTCCCGACCTCGCCGGGCAGTACTCTGATAACACAGTATTGCAGACAAGAACAGTAAATCACGCACCAGATCTCTGCATCACCTCAGTATTACAGTCTGAAGAAAGGACGTCTCAGCACACTCTTCATCTTCTCTCAGACACATCAAGCACCCTCATCAAGCCTCTTAAAATTAATCTACCCATCTACTACAACTGTTATCCTACCATCATCTCTCATCACCTCCATTTCAGACCACACCAATAAAGTCAACCCCTTTCTTGTATCTCAACAAAGCCGACACCGAATCAACACACCCTTACACCCACTGGTCCAATCTTCATATTTATCTCCTTTTCAATCCAACACTCAACTTCATCCCCTCATCGATCCAACCTCCACCTACCCACCGAAATCAAGAGATAATAACAAACAAAGCACATCACCCTTTCAGCAAAAATGAAGTGGACTTCCGAAAACATGAACATCGTACGCCCTCCTCTCCCTTCTCCCATCCCCCTCCCTCATCTCTATCCAAAACTAACAAACCCAGCTCTGGGAAACCCTCTTCGAAACCCACAACCTAACCATCGACATCGACAAGATGGCCGCCGTCTGGCGTGAGTCTTCTCCTGCACTACCCCAATAACTCCCGGACCAGACCTGACAAAAAGTGAGAGCAGCCAACGAGGACGAAAAGCCCACCGCCCGCGCCATTAAGGAGCGTCTCGAGAAGTTCCGTCGCAACCTCAAGAACGGCGGCAGCACCATCACCTTCAGCATGGGTGCGAAGCGCGCGAACACTGAGTCGCCCGAGGCGAATCGGGTGAAGAAGCGGCGGGTTGCTGTGAAGAAGGCGGCGGCAACTGCGGAGGATGACGGGGTTGTGAAGGGGGGAGATGAGAAGGGTTTGGGCATCAAGGAGGCTGAGGGGGGTGGTATGCATGGTGGCAATGTTGTCTAGCTGGCATTCTACGGAGGTATTCCGCTGGCTGGGGGTTTGGGATTGGGGTTGATGCTGGGATTATGGGGATGCAGGTGGACGGCTTGATCGCTTTGCGGTGGTGCCGTGCTTGGTGCCTTGGGATTCACTCGGAGGTCAACATGAAATGGCAATGATGATTTTTGCTGAGATGCATGGACGTAGGTTCTTATTGTGGCTGGGTAGATACCCAGTTGTTGTACTGTTTACGGTCCTGGCTATCCGCGCTGATTGACTTCTTGGGGAGATTCCGAAGATAGATACGTTTCTGCAAGCGGGTGTTAAGGGACGGGAGAAATATGGAACCACAAACTCGAACCGCGGGTCTAGCTGGATAGTAGTCTTCCAAGCATGATATCCTTGAGTTCACTTGCCAGTAGAAGACACTCTGGTGGGGAGGTTTACCAATGCGCGATAAGATCGACATCGAAGCTAACTAAGGCGAAAGGCAAAACAAAGTGCATCATCCGTGAATCGAACACGGGCCTCATCGATGGCAACGATGAATTCTACCACTAGACCAATGATGCTGGTTGTTGTAGTCTTGGCATAAATAATAAATATAGAGGAAAAGAAACCACGGCAAAATATCAACAAAGAACTACCAGGCTAGGACCTTGATCAGCCCTCGTTCCATGGTTCATTGATGACTACTATGTAACAAAAATACTTCTGAAGCTTCGGCTCTCCTATAGCTACAGCACGGCTAGACTCCCACCCCCATCGAAACGTCATCACAGGAAATGTGAAGGAGTGTCATTGCATATATATCTAGTCGCTGCGCAAACCGCTCACTATCAAGAAAACACAACTCAAACAGTGCATCTTCCCCGTCTGGCCAGACAAAAAGCAAACAAAAATGACAGTCATGCAAAACAGTCCCAAAGATCCATCATCTGTCTAGGATAACCCATCAGACCTGCTCCCCCCGGTCACCTCCCACAATAAATGACTCAAGCCCAGCAGGTGATGGTGGCGCCGTTCAAGTCAACAGGAATCACGGCGTTCGGGTTGCCATCGAGATCGGCAAAGGTGCGCTGGGAGTTGAGGTAGGCGATGCTCTTGCCGCCATTGACGATGTTGCAGCTCGACCACTGGGAGAAGTTGGTCAGCTGGGCCGACGAGGCCAGGACCGTGCCGCTGGAGCCGACCGCGGTGCCGCCGTAGAGGGTCTGAATGCTGCGGGTGACGCCGTCGCCGGGGATGGACACGCCAGCATTGGCTCCGCTCTGGTCGTTGGCGAAAGAAACAGTGACGCTGTTCACCCGGGCTTCAATGTCCACCGGGGCAGGGGCGGCCGAGACGGCGGCGATGAGGACGGAGGCAATGATGGTGGCGAAGGACTTCATTTTGAATGGAGTAGTTGGTAGCTTTCCGAAGAAGTAGAAGAGTTGGAGAGTGGATTAGAGAGTTCTTTGGTTTGAAGACGGGTGCTGATGGCTTGTGAGGCTGTTGATGCTGATGATGAAGCTGTATCTCGACGAGCAGAGACGACCAATTTATACCTTTTCTCGTCCCTATATCTCAACACTAGACCATCAACATCGGTACAGATCTTCAACCAGATCTGTCCAGCCTTCACCGTCAATCCTAATGGCATGAGGCTTCCACCCCCCCAGCCACCACTTCGTATCCTAAAAACAGTGTTCCAAAAATCAACATGTTGGTATACGAGCACGCGGATGCTATTGATGGTACAGCACAGGGCACAGCCGATGCCACGATCGGGTCGTCCTTTGGCTCGCACGACAGCAGTTCATGCCCGCGTGCATCCGGCTGGCCATGTTTCGTGGTACAAGACCAATGCACGCGACCCCGGGTTGGTTGCCCATTGCTTCATATGCACACGTGACCGTGAGATGCCGGGTGGCCTGACATCATAGCCCAGCCCTCGATCCAAGACATCCGACTACTTTGCGGAGATCTGCAGGGTGCCGTGAAAGAGACCCATCAGCCAACCCAAGTAAGGTGTGGCAGGGGATCCGGGGAGATCGGAAAACGAGGTGACAGACATGGGAAGCCTTGCGGATGCGGGGAGACCTTAGCAACAGAGTTAGTACCGAAATAGTACCCCTGAGTGGCTCAGTGACTGTCCGTACCGAGTTAGTATTGATGAAGTATTAAAAAGTAGTGGAATGTACTGAATGAACTGCACCGCCTGTAGGTCTTGAACTTACCCGCACAGAAGCCCGGAAGGGAACCCAATCACTGAACCCCGGCCAAGCCCGCATCCTCGTATTGCCTGCCCTCCATGGAGCCAACTCGACAGATAAAAATAACCCCATCCCTTGAGTGACCCTCGTATGAAACCTGTCTTACACCCTGCCTGCCTGCCAGCCTGACTGCTGGCCTGGACTCGAGGCTGAAAGTGGCGGTGACGTGAGCAAGGAGAAGCGGTCGCTTTGTCCGCACTAATTCACTGCCCTGGATACCATGTCTCAGAACTCGATGATCTGGCAGCAAAAAGCACAGAAGGTTGCAGAAGTGCGGTTGTATTTTTCACGGTAATGCTGGGGGAGGGTAAAGAGGCTCCCATGCATTGAAGTCGATGGGTGCATATTTCACCCACACCCGCTATTTCCGATCTGTGGGGAAACCTTATGAGGTTACCATTACTCAACTCTCACTTCACCACAACGTTACGAACAGGCCATAGCTCACATAAATTGAGTCCATCAACAAGTAACAGTAATTCGTAGCAAAAGGGCCCGGGTGCATGGAATCACGAGGCCATGCGGAAAATATCGAGTAGACTATTGAAGCCGGAACGAGAGATTTGTCTGACTTGTGCTCGGCGGATTGTCTCGCAAGTGCTGGCCCAGAAAAGTGTCGAGTACTTCCCACCTGAGGTTGTCGGAACCCGTATAGCCGGCATCCCTTAACCAGACTCGAAGCTGACCTTGACAGATCATTTCCGTACAGGCAAACCAACTCCCTGCTCATACACTCTCCATTTCTGTCGCGCGGACTTCTTTCTCATCTTCTAGGACAGCAAGGTGCGTTGTCTGAGGAATCTCATACGCTGGATAGACCATCAGTGACCAGATCGTCCGTGGTAAGACATTTGACTCACATTTGAATTCGCGCGCTGGGACTCCGTTTTGGAACATCACCTGGATCTCCTCCAGGGATCGCCCGGCGGTCTCCGGCAAGAAAAAGTAAATCCACACTGCTGCGCCGAACATTAGGCCACCGTAGATGAAACCTACCCGGGCGCTGAGGTTGGCTCCATCAGCATTGAACAAGTACGGAAAGGTGAACGTGACTACCCAGCTGAAAAACCAATTGGTACCAGTTGAGGTGGCCATGAGTTTGCTGCGGTTGGGCCCGGTCGAGATCTCGGACGTGACCACCCACACGGCTGGCCCCAGGGCTAGATTGAACACAACCATGAAGATGTAGACCATTGCTACGATGACTCGGTCCAAGCCCATGGTCTTGTCCGTGGCCGTTCCCGCCCCACCGACGACGAACAAGACCACACATACCAAGAAGCAGGAAACAAGCAACATCATCCGTCGACCGAATCGCTCAACACAGTACTGATTTAGCCAGACCGCAGGCATCGGCGTAAGGTACAGGCCCATCTGGATGAGGAAAGAGTTCGTAATGCCAATTGCCGAAAAGAAGACAATGCCGTAGCTGGTGATAAAATTGATGCCTGAGGCCTGTTGGAATGCTATGACACCCAGAGTTAGCAAGTCGAACCAGTTATTTTGGAAATGCCTCACCCTGAATGGAACATCCTAGGTAGGTTTTCCGTCCATCTACCTTCCACTTGAACAGGTCTGTCCAAGAACTATCGTTCCGCTGCTCTTCCTCAATCATACTGGAGATATAGACTATCTCGCTTTCGATAAAGTCCGGCCGGTCACCGTACAGTCTTCGAAGGGCTGCTCGGGCTTGCTCCGTCCTCCCCTTAGATAGAAGCCAGCGAGGCGACTCGGGACAAAACAGGATGAGACCGGGAACTAGAATAATTGGGAAGACAAGCTGAACCGCCATCGGTATCCGATAGGAACCACTGTCCGTTCGATCCTTCGTAGCATAGTCCACGATCACACCGAACAACAGTCCAAGTCCAACATCAAACTGGTATACGGAGACTAATGCTCCACGGAAGCGGGTAGGTGCACAATCGGCAACATACAAGGGGACCAGGCACGAAATGAGTCCCACCGCGTAACCTGTTAATGCTTAGCTCTCAAACGTCATCTGTGACAGCCTGGGTGTTTGTGTGCTGCTCAATGCTGCCTAGAGATTAGGAACGTACCCATTAGCAACCTTCCAACGATTAACAAGGCGAGGTTATCAGCAGCGACCTGAAAGACCACACCAGCAGTAACAAAAGCACTAGACACAAAGAGCCCTCCTCGGCGTCCGATGCGATCATCTACCAGGTAGGAGGAGACAGCGCCGATAAGCTCCCCGACGTTGATGATGCTAGTGGTAAGTGACTGGATGCTGGAGCTGAGAACATAGCCACCAGTCGCGCTGTCGTAGTGCCCATAAGCTTTGATGAAGGGGTCCATATCCAGGATACCTATTTGCCACAGAATGGTTAGCCCAGTCGACCATTGGGAACATAATGCGAGCTCGGGAGTGTGTATCTCTCCTAAGGCAGACACTGGCTACTTACCAGAATAGTAGGAAGAGTCGAATCCAAACTGAAAAGCAGCAACCGTGATAAACAGACTTATTGCGATTGCTCGCCATTCTGCCCGAATTTCTAGCATGTCAAGGATGTGTCTCATCTTTGCAGAAGGCGTTAGGCACAGGCAAAGAGGCAAGTATTAGCACATTCAACGGGGACGATCGACAGAAAGATTCTGGGGCTTCCGAGCATTTTCGGAGGTTTTATAGTCCACGAAAGCTGAAATCGTCTAGCAGAGCCCAGTCTGTCAAATCCGGGGTTTCCCACGGGGTAGCAAAGACGTCCAAAAACTGGAGGGAGCCAGACCCGGCCGCTTCTAAAAAGCCGATTGCCAAGGACAAAATCAGCCGACTAGAGTTTGGCAGCCATGGGATTTGCGCCAAAAGATTGGCTGCATGGCTCGTAGAAGCCTCCACCCGGTGCATTGGCTCGAGTTCTCGTGATTCGTGCGGGATCCACCTCGGCCCGCTCGCTCAAAACTGAGGTATAAAAGATTAGCCGCGCCGAATAGTGGTTGAAAGAGACCGACCAATCTGTCGGCCTGCTCTGCCTGGTTTTGAGAGTATCGGACTTCTACCTAAGCTTGGTCTCCTTTTGCCTTTCTCGCAATGACCGTCTCGGTCGTCGTTACCCTCCCGACTCATACCAAACCCTCCTATGAGCAACGGGTTCACGGGAGATTATCGTCCATACCGGGAGTTGAAGAGTTCCGAGGTATCCCTTATGGAATTGTACCAGCAAGATGGCAACATGCTCAACTCCGTGATCGATTGCCACATGATGTCTTCGATGCGACACACAATGGGTGCGTGGTTCTCCTGTTCAATCCGTGCCAGAGCACAAATAACCATAATTCTTCCACAGCCCCCGCTGCCCACAACCGCAGGAGCCAAACAACACTGAATTCTATCAATCGCATCTCCACTTTCCACAAGATGTGAAAGAGTCCGAGTTCGACTGCCTAAACCTGTTCATCACGAGACCGAGCCCGAACGTTCTTGCTGCTGCCGGCCTTGAGTCTGACAGTCCTGGGCTGCCGGTTTATGTATACATCCACGGAGGAGCATATGGTTTCGGCGCCGGGACAGATCCTATGTGGGGTTAGAGTCACAAGCTCCAATTTCAGATATCAAGGCTAAATGGTACCCTAGATCCAGCACGTCTTGTTAGAAAGTCCGTATTGTTGGGGACCCCCATCATCGTCGCGACAATCAATTACCGACTCAATATGTTCGGATTCGCCGCATCCACTGACATCACCGATTCTCAGCCAGAAGACAAGATGGGTTGCAACTTTGGGCTTGGGGACCAAAGAGTTGCCCTTGAGTGGGTGCAGCATAACATCGCGGCGTTCGGAGGCGATTCAAATCGAGTCACAGTCGGTGGCCAGTCGGCAGGCGGAAGCTCATCTCATGCTCATGTTCTCGAAGCAGTGTTGGGCAAGGGGAAACCCTTGTGCCAGCAGGGGATCATTCAGTCCGGGGCTGTCGGAGTGCTTGGTCCTATCACGATGGAGAATGCCAATGCTCGATGGGCCACTTTTTGCAAGCAGTTGGGCGCGACCAACGAAGATACAGAGTCACGTATGGCCGTCATGCGGAATGCGTCAGCAGATGATATTATACGTGCGAATGTTGCGTTAGGATGGTTTGCCTTTCCATTAGTTATAGATGAGTTGACCATTTCAGAAAGACCGAACGGACGTTGGAATGTTCACCTCGACCGCAGCAAAATGTTGAACACCTCAAATGGTACGGTTAGACAGCCCAAGGAGACCATATCTGTTTTGGTCGGAGATACAGATCTCGAGGTCAGTCATCATAATCCGCATTCCGAAAACGCCACATACTGACAAAATGAGCCTATAGGGTACACTTCATCAGTCATCAGTCAGCCAACTCGAGAGCTTCGAACAAATTTGCGATCGGTCAGCTGTCGCCGGGTTACCTGAAGAATTCTGCAATGCCTTTTATACGGCGTACTGTCTGCGTTCAGGCATGAGCACAGAGAGTCTGCACGAGCAAGTCTATCGCTTCTTATCAGACATACAGTTTGGATATCCCGTTCAACGTTGCAGGGAGGAGCTGATGGGTTGGGAGGATCCAGGCCACAGTGGCGTGGATGAGGAACTGTTCCCTAGATCAACTCGGGTGCAATCATTTCGCATGGCGGTCGGCAATCCGTTTGCAGGATTAAATCACGGCAAAGCCCACCACTGTGTGGATCTCATCTATATTTACGACTGCTTCGAAAAAGCATTGCGCAAAGCGGATAAATTGCTACCGCCCAGCACGGTATCTAACGCGAGCCTAGTCGATCGTATTCAGACTGATTGGATCATTTTTATCACCGGTTCGCGGTCAGCCATCTATGAACCAGGCTTCGCAACCATGTACCAGCCGGACCGAACTGCGATCATAGTCGACATGGCAGTCGACGAGGCCTGGGCGGATAGAAAGTCGCGACTAAGCCTCGTCGATAGATACCCGCAGGAGGCTAGGCGAATTGCCGACATCTTGAGTGGCGGAGGAAATCTTTTCTAGAAGACCATAGACAGCCGCATGATCGTGTCACAAAGGGACTGTCTCCCAGAAAATGGCAAGCGTTGGATGTGGATTATTCTAGTCAAGGTATACGGTCATAAGCAAGCGTTTCAAACACCGTAGATTAAAGCATGGGTTATTTTCACGCCCTCGAAGCTGAAATTTCGTTTTCAGGAATACCCTTGCTCGTTCAAGGGTCCGTATGTGCCCACAACCCCGTAAAGCCCGGAGTCCAGCGATAACGAAGCATTTCGGGGTCGAGATGACTCTCTAGCTCTTCAAGTGCTGAGGTGTCGTCATGGCTAGCATGAGCCTTTTCCTGAAAAGATCGTGTCATGTTGTTGCTGAGAGCTTTGCGAAGGAGTTCGGCAAATGTTCGCTGGTAATCCATGTTTGTGGCTAGAACAAACTGGTCCAATACCTGTAGATTGATCGCGCAGTTGCGCAAAATCAGGCTGTCAGATTGTTGGCCTAGTTTCTGGGCCAGGATTAGGAAGATGAAGGACGATTGTAGGAAATATGTGCCGAAGTAGCGATACATAAAGCTTAGTCGAGGATCAACCCGGAGGATGTGACGTGCAACCTGAGTGGCTAATGAGTTTTGATGGCTATTATTGAAACTTGCTAATCCGCCGAGGATAGAACATACGTTTGCGCACGCGACAGCGTGTTCGCCAGCGGTAAGGAAGTCGGGAGATGCTTGCCACTCAAGATCGTGGTACAAGCGAACCACATCCATGCGACCGTGGAGTAGCACAAACATGCAGTGGTACATGTGCAAGCCGTAATAGGCGACTGCTGGGTTACTATCTCCCGGCACAAGCTCGCACTCTGGCTCTGAAATTCGACAGAAGTCAGGTTCAACTAGCGATTCAAAGGAGTCGAACCACAGCTGCAAGTTACGGATTATGGTTGTGCGGCTTGTATCCAGCAGAGCCTTATTGGTGTTGAACGTTGGGTGATCATCGAGGAAGTGATACTCGAGAATGTCGCCTAGGATTCTGTGAAGGATCAGCGACTGCTGCTGCAACACTGCTTACTGAGATCGTTGCTAAATACCTCGATAGGGGCAAAAACGCCCCAAGCATATCCAGACTGCGGACTTGATATCTCGATGCCATACTATGGGGGGGGCAGTTTTTTTCCGAACGAGGCAACGGTGATAGATGGTCCCAGATCGCATCTGGGCACGGCGTCGGCAACGACGAGCATTCTTGATCAGTGAGACGTGGACGCCCATTGAACGATAGAGCGGCATGCCGATCGATGATATAGGTGGCCCACCACAACCTGCACCTCGTCAGCATGAATCAGCTGATATGGTCTCGAATGCATACCTTCTTCTTTCTTCCCTGTCCTCCTCATCCATACCCTGGTCATCCTTATGTAGATCTAATTTTTGGATGATGAAATTCAGGAACATTAGCCAATACTGAAGGCCTGATTCGAGTGACTTCTCACTAGGAGCAATGGTAGTCAGCATGAATGCAGTCAGCGCATCGTCAAAAACATGGTTGGTGCCAGGAAGTGTGCGTGGATAAAAGTGGCGGTTCAGCTGGTCGAAAAAGTATCTTCCCTGTGCCATCCGCCGTATCGAATCTGTTCGCTTCTTTGCCGACGGCATGAAACATGAAACACCTGAGATATGTCAGATGGAGAGTCGCGTGTTGTTTCGAACAAGAAATTCAGGAGTGCATACACAGAATCGACAAAAGCAGAGGCGGCGAAGTTGGTCGCGGGCTTTCCAGGTCCAGTAGTCTGCTTTTTCGAATAAGCCGCGTGTGAAACTCTTGGTTTGGAGACTCATAGGAATGTTCCAGCAGCCGCGATGCTTCATAGCGTGTAGGTTGAAGAGTAGTGGATCTAGAGGCGGTAATTAGAAGAGTTGGGTCGATGTCAAATTAGCGAGACTCACTCCGTCTTCTCTTTCTCGGGACTGAGGATTGAGAGCCCGTTCAAACAGTCCAAAACGGGGTAGTCAGAAGCATGCTGCACCAATGCAGGGGATGGTCGTGAGCGGGTTGATTTCCTGCCACGCTTCTTGGGTAGTCGAGTGTAGGTGCATCGTATGGCGAGACCTGCTGCCGTCTCAGTGAGAGGCCGGCGGCGCGTACCGGGCGGGGGAGTATACGAGTGCAACGAACACATCCCTGCGAGAGGGGGGTACATTTGAGCTTGTGACCATGGCACTGGTCGCAAGCAATGTTTGCTCTCGTCTCCATTGAGATTTAAGTGAAAACTGGGGATCCTTCTTCTCTGCTAGGTGTAAGGTAATGTTCATGGAGGAGGGAGGGGGTCTTGGAGCGCAAATAGACAGCCGAACGGCAGCAGGTGGAAATAACGGGCAGAAAAACAGTCCCACCGCTTTGTACACCTCACCGCCTACTAGGCCCACCGTTCGCCGCCTGTTCGAGATTTGGGATTCTATCTAGGCCATTTGCTTATCGCTTATCCCGCCCTTATCATCATTTCTCTCTCTTGTTCCCGTCTCCACCATCCATCGGTCATCCTCCAGAGCTTTTCCTCTTCCCTCCATGATGAAAGAACTCTAGCGCTCCTTCATTTCCCCTGAACTTTGATCACGCAGAGCTGGTTGATCAGTCCACTCGTTTTGTAACACAGCAGATTTGCATGGTCGCACAGTGCAACTGATAAAAAGCACCACCGGCTTTGTGCGGCTCAGCCTACTCTAGGCAGAGCTTATATGTACCGCGCAGATTCCCCTGAAGGGAACAGTTTCTCTTTCCTTTCCTCCTTTCCAAACCAACATTAAAGTTCATCACAATGCTTGCAAAGCTTGTCACTCTAATCGTCATGGCGCTGGCCATGCCACTATGGCAGTGGTATCAGCCTCTTTCCCGCGTCTCTTCCTCCATCCCATCCGTCCCATCCACAACCGACCCCATCTCACCTCAACAAAAGGCCCAGCTCCACGAAGTCGCGGACTTGATGTCGGGAATCTATCAGACTCTCGTTGAAATGCGATACCTTGATCCAGCTGGCGTCCAACCCGGGCCACACAACCTCACGGCCCTCGAACCTCATTTCGAAGAGCTGCAGATCGACCCGGCTGTCCAGTACCTCTACAGCATCCTGCCATACATCGACACGGAAGCTGCTGGCAACCGTGTCTTCTTGCACGGCGGCGAGTTCACTGACTTTCGCGACGTCGACCAGCTGGAACAAGGCCGCGATCCTTTCTACGGGTCCCCCAGTGATCCATCTTTCGAGGACGAAGACGGCCCGTACATGCGCCCGTGGGTCACGCCACTCACTCAACTCGGAAATCACGGGAGTGTGATTGTCTACGACGCGCGCCGACACTTAATCCGGATCATCGACCAAGAGGGGTGGTCAACGACTGACCTGGCATTGCAGGATGTTGAGGAGAAGGAACCCGTGTCGGCCAATCGAAACAGCTTTGAGCATATTCCGCATCGCCCGGCCGGGGATGTGCTTCGGGATATTGTGCGGTGGTATCATGCACTCGATGAAGTTCCCAGCGGAGGGGATGGCTGGGATGAGTGGTCAGCTTTGGAAGAAGCACAGGTGCGAGGGTTGTACCAGAAGAACGGATGGCCGGATGCTTTCGACGGAGACGCGTTTGAGATTGGCCTCGTGAGGTCAATCGCTGACTTTGTAGTGGAAGAATTTTCGACTCAACCGCTCGAAGGTGTGCAGTACTACAAGGATTTTATCGATGGTGGCTATCGCCACCTCGCGGAGGCGGAAGAGAAGCTGCGATTAGCTCGAACCCGTCCAGAAGAGTGGAATGCGCGTTGGCGCATGTTGCTTGCGGAGGGGCAGTATCGACGCGGAGAGGTGTTCTTGGGAGTGGCTGAGCAGCACGCCGACCAAATGTGCCCGGGGAGCGTTTGTCTACAGCCGCAGGGTCGTCCGCTGTGGGAGATGCAGTTCTTGCACGAGGAAGTCGAGCAGAAGAAGACTGAATTGGCGGAGGCGGAACAAGAGTGGACGGGCGAATTTGGAGAACAACAAGTGCTGAGCATTGATGTCGCGCAGTGGAATAAGAAAAAACACCTGGCGAGGCGGAGACTGGCTGTCTATCAGAACGCGCTTGAGGCAGCACGCTCGGACGCAGAGCGGCTGTTGCCTGGTCAGACTTTTCAATCGATGACTGGGCTCAAGAGCTTGCGATGGGCGTACGACGGGGATCGAGATATTCAGATTGAGCACGATATCACCGTTCAAGAGCTCGAGAGTGCGAGGAAGTTGTTGGCCCAAATCCCAGATGCAGTCGAAAGTGTTCGATCTCAGGTTTTGGAATACATCCGGAATACTGAAGCTTGGCTCGAGTACTCGAATTCGAAAGCGGCCGAGATTCGAGAATAGTTTCTCGTCCTACCGGTTGAGTTGTCAGTGTTTACCACTTGCTTTAATTTGCTTCAACAACACGGACTCTCATGTAGAGGCCTAGCTTTCGACTGCCATCATTGTATATTTCATACTATTGCAATAATGATTTCATGAAATAATAATTTCTGTTTCGCTTATCGAAGTGGCAGCATGATGCCTACATCTCAGATTAAGAGACGTCACCGGCAGCGCAGAATTCAATTCCACTAGCAGCCGGCCCGATGCGATGGTGCTCGATTCATAGCTCCCAGATACGTGACACCAAGTCTATACAAACATTGCCTCGGTGCTAAGACACCGTCTCAATAGATGATTGAAAAGTTGATAGTAAAAGCGCTAGCCAGCCCCAGGTCAACAGGTCAACAAACAAACCCAAGCAAACACCAAAAACTCCTCTCCATTCCTCAACACCCGCTCACAGCCCAGCTTGCCATCTCACTCATCACCAACAAACACCACCCTCATAACGACACTCCGACACAGGCTTATCCAGATTACCACTTTCGCACAGCCACGCCATAACAGAAAGATACTCCTCCATCAAGCCCGCCGTCTCCTCCCCACCAAAGGTCAGCGTGTTCATGATAACCTCCAGCTCGAGGATGTCGTCCGGCATGAGGGTCGGCAGCCAGATGAGGCCGAGATCATAACCCCCACGGAAATCGACCATGCGAATCGGATCAGTCTCCTGTTCGGAGTATTGCTCCAGCCGCCAGTTGAAGACCTGCGTGAAGGCCGCCAGCTCGATGAAGGAAGCGTCGTTTGTGCCCGCAGCCGCGTCCAGCTCGCGCAGTCGGCTGAGAACCCGGCTGAAGGGTGCATGGGTATACAGGCTCTGGACATCCTGGTCCTCCGTGAGGCGGGTCAGCAGCGACCGGACTGTTTCAGCGGGTGGTACCGTGACGCGCTCGACGAAGAAACCGATCATGGGGCCGTCGATCTCCAGGGGGTTGGGGTGCTGATCATGGACGAGGGAGTCGTCGCTCTCCGCTCCAGGCCAGAAGCGCCCCGATGCTGCGACGTTGAACACCGCTTCGGACACGCCGGTCCGGTGCGCGTTGAGTAACACGCAGGCGGCTTTGCCGATCACGGGAACAGGGACGTTCGACGCGCGGCGCATCTCGGCGAGCCCGGGCAAGTGGATGTATTTTTTGGTCGAGCCGCTGATGAATGGGTCCTGGCCTTGGGCCCGGACCTCGTTCCAGGTCGACAGTCGGGGCCAAGGCACGTCTTGAGCAGCCGAGATACCTTTCAGACGCTTGACGTGGAAGTCCACGGCATCCTCTGCGGCTTGGCCGTAGATGTACTTCTGGTAGTCGGTGATGAATCTGCTGTAGTGGCGGAAGTCCATGCGCGGGAGACCATTGTTGGCCAGAAGGTCCTTGAAGTCCTGCAACCAGCGGAAGATCGTCACTGCATCGTAGATGCCATGGTGACAGTGCATGACTATTCCCGCGCGAGAAGACTGTCGGTCTTTGATGATGATGGCCTTCAAGAACGGACCGGGCAGCACGACACATCCCTCCCAAGGATTGCCGGCTTTGTATCCAGTCAAAGCGGCAACGTTATCCACGTCGCTGTCGTGAGCGATGTGCAGCTTCATCCATCGAGCTGTAGGACGCATGATCATCCATACCATTCGATCCTGGTCATATTGTGCGACGGTGCTGCGTAGAAGCGGGTGTCGATGCAGCCACAGGTGAAGAATCGCCTCGAGATACTCAGCGCTCAGACCTGGAGCGGCGATCCAGGAGGTGCGGATCTTGAACGCACTGGGGCTCAGTGTATCTTTCAGGAACCAGGTCTGAGTGTCGGTGACGTGCATTGTCTCTTCTACATCGTCCCAACCGAATCCGAGCGGCCGAAGCGTTGACTCCCCGGCTTGTTGAACTCGTGCTTGGTCGAGGAAGGTCTGCTGAGCGCCGGCCGTGGGAGCATGAGCATGAATGACTGGGGACTTGATGCTGGCTATGCTGCGATCGGCTATGAGCTGCGCTTGCTTCCGGACTGTGTCGTGTTCGATGAGATCCTTACGGGTGACCCGCCCAAGCCGCTTTGTGGCAGTATGCAGGTATTGGATCATCATCATGCTGTCGGCAAAGGTTCGGATGGGAGCGTCGAGGTCGAGCTGCTCTGCCTTCATTCCGGTAATCGCTGCCCAGATAGCAGCAACTTGGGACACATAATCACCAGAGGCTGAATTCAATGAGGCTTGCTGCTCTAGATATTCAACCACCAGGGTCTTCAGGTTAGGTTTCAAGACCTTGCCTGTCGTGGTGGTGGGATAGCGATCCTGCTTCAAATCATCCTCCAGTTCGATGATCATGGTGGGAGAAAACGAGCGCCCTAGCTCCTCTTGCACCTTGGCTTGCAGCGAGCTTGAGGACACATCGACGGACTTCTCCCGACGGATGACTGCCATTGGCACCTCGCCAGCCACAGGATCAGGGATACCCACGACATAGGCTTCCTACAAACTAGTTTAGCATGAAGCTTCGAATCATCGGGCAGAATACGTACTCGGACCCCCGCAATCCTGGTCAAGCACTGCTCAATCTTAACAGGCGAGATGTTCTCACCACCGCGGATGATCAGATCCTTGTACCTACCCAGCAAGTACACATTGCTGTCCTCATCCATATACCCCTGATCACCGGTCGCAGACCAGTTCATACCATCTTCCCGGTAACACGTCTTGTTGTCATCCGCACTTGCATCGAGATATCCTCCGAAGATCGGATAACCGCCCTGGTGCAACTCACCGAGCTGGCCTCGACGGATGGGAACCCGGCTATCTGGCGCACAGATTCGGACTCTGGCACCAGCTCGTGGAGGCCCTAGACATACCTCTCCCTGGATTCTCTTGTGAGATGCAGCCTCGTAGAAGTTGAGTAGTGTGGCTACGCCCTCTGTGGTTCCATATCCCGCAATTACCCGATCTGCACCAAGGGACAGACAGAGCTCGACGATGCTGGGCGACAGCGACGCACCTCCGAGGACGATCTGATATAACGTCTCCAATGTGCCGCTGTCTGGCGTGAGCTGAGCGACGATGGCCTGTACCATGGACGGGACGCAGGCTGTATGAACCTTTGGGCCGAGTCGAATGGCTTCCAAGGAAGCAGCGGGATCAAAGGTCGGACTGGGGTAGATGACTGTTGCCCCGCTAAACCACGTCCCCAGCGTCATCACGATGGCGAAAATGTGAAAGCTGGGCAAGTGCCCGCAAAGGTGGTCGCCGGGATCGATGTTCAGGGTGTTCACCACCATGAGACCCGGTGTGGCAATCGAGAGTGTGGTATGTGGACACCCTTTGGGGAGGGACGTTGTTCCGCTTGTGAACAGGATGAGAATGGTGTCATTGGTGTTTGTTGGTGGCGGAGGAAGTATTGACTCGTTCGCTGCGTTGGCCAATAACTTCGGCAATGTTGTCCAGCTTGCAGGGACAGTTTGCTCGTCCGCCGCCCGGGTGATACCCTTGAGGATAGGTTGGAATCCCCCCTCTTCGAGCGCCACATCCAGAGGCTGGGTCATGGCGGATGCCGAGACGAATACTGCGGCAGGTTCCAATTTCCGCAGCAGATGAAGGGCGTCTGCGCGCTGCCCCAGCATCCGAGGATCCAATGGGGCGAATTGGCAGCCCAGACGAGCGGCAGCCCAGAACAGCACGGCCCATTCAGCTTCGTTGAGGAGGAAAGCTGCAATGCGACTGCCCTTGCCTATTCCTGCCTGCGCCAAGGAAGCAGCCAGGCGCATACTCCGGGAATGCAGCTCTGAGAACGTCCAGCGCAGAGGATTCGGGGATTTGGTGGCTGGAGACCCGTGCTCCTCGGTCTGCCGTAGGGCTACAACGGCGTCATGGTTGGGGAATCGCTGTGCGGTCTGTTGCAGCAAGCCAAATAGATGCCTGTCGGGCGGATGTTGTGAACCGTCTGCAGCCTCCGCCAAGGTATTTCTTGCCATGATGAGGCAAGTGTCAAGGTTTCAATACGAATTATCGAGTATGAACGACCGAGAGCAAAGGAAAACCGGGGCGACGATTGAGTCCATCGCACAGGTTTTAAATCCCCCACCGAGCACAAACTACGGTTGCATCAGGTCATTCGACAACACCACAATTTCCAATAATCTGCTCATCCATACTACCGGTCTCTACCCCCTACGATAAAAGCCTTTGTTTGGTTGGAACTGGCTCGTATTGCTGCCATGCGTCCCACTTCATCCATAGTTGGAACCGGTAGTTTAGGGCCCCGCTGCGGCGATCCGTGCCGATCGGGTCGATCCCAACTGCAGCCACAAGCGTCGAGAAATTCTTTGCATGAAAAGTTTCCTACAATCTATGCACAATAGCACAGCACAGGCCAGGTCCTAGGGTGTAGCGCAGGCACTAACGCTGATAGTCACACAATAGTCGACTGCGAGTCGACTAGAATTTAGACTGGATTCTCATTCCCATGAGAGAGGCGCACCACTGAATACCTGTGCGGTTCGTCCTCTCTGATGCACGCGGGACCTCTGCCTCCACGTGGGCTCGACTGCTGGGCCAAGATCCAGGGGTTAGCGGACCAAGCTCATCAAGGTGGTGGCTGTGATTTTAATATGCGACCATGGTTCTACTCGCTGTGCCGTCGCGCAGATTGCGATCGGAGGCCCCGGAGTTTGACATGACGTGCTCTGATTTCCAGGATGGGACCGATCTAGGAATCATCTTGACTGTGACTACAAACTCAATTTCTGTATCACTCATTGGATCTGGTATATACGGGGAGCAAAATCCGATCGTACCCTCAGGGGGCTTCTTCGCGACTCGTTGGAGATGACAATCTCCGCTGAGGTGCCCTCATGTCTTGCGCCAATCGCGTCAGATATGAGGGGCGAGCGGCAAGATCTGGATATGCCAATTAAGGGATGAAACCTGTATTCGATAGTTCCTTCAGTGGTGGGACAGCACATGGTGCCCAATGGAAGAGCTTTCCTGATGCGATTTTCAGGGACGATCGCCGTGAGCAAAACCTAAAGAAAAAGAGGGAAGGATATTTCAGTGGTAGCTGCGAGGGTATACATATATAGCAGACTTGTTCTTCAAATAATGGTCTGTGAGATCTCCAGCATTCGAGGATCTCATTTGAGACAGCACCACTCGACAGTCGGCTGTTCAAGATGTATCTCGACACACCGTCGCAAACCCCGCGCAAAGCAAAGATCTTGATGCTTCATGGTGAGTCTCTAATCTGATCGGATTTCTGCCAATTCGTGGACGTGAACTGAGAAGTAGCAGGCACAGGACAATCCGCCCACACCTTCCAGAGCAAGATGCGGTATCTCCACGAGCCCATCGCTCGAGCCCTCTCCGCCACGTCCATGCAGCATGAGAACCTCCCTCCCGGGGGCGTGGAGTTTTTCTATCTGGACGGCCCGATCCCCGCCTCCTCGATCGACGCCTGCGACGAAACCTACATGAAGCCCAACCGCCTGCCCGACAGCTGGCTCTGGGGCTACGGCGACCCAGAGACCTCCGAACTCAAGGGACTCGAGCACACCTGGAAGCGGCTGGCGAATGTCCTGACGGAACATGGGCCGTTCGTTGGCGTCATCGGCTTCTCCGCCGGGGCCGCGTGGTCTGTCATCTTGACTGCCTTGCTGGAGCAGAACAAGAAATATCCTCAGTTTCAAGTGCGCCCCCTTTACCTCCGATTCTTGGATTAGCTCTAACGGATATTAGGTCAACCACCCGCCCATGCACTTCTGCATCGCCTTCTCAGCCTTCATGTTCGAGCACCGCACGTACGAGTGGATCTACGCGCGCCGCATCCAGACGCCTGTGCTGCACTTCATCGCCGCGCTCGACACCTGGGTCACCGAGCGGCAGTCGCTGAAGCTGGTCGGGCGGTGCGCCAATGCGCAGGTGGAGTACTTCCAGGGGTCGCACTACATCCCCCGAGGACCCCGAATCAGGGAATTGGTCACTAGGTTCATCCGGAGGACGGGCGGTGGGGTGGGGGTGGGCGAGGTGGATGGCAACTGCATTCACGTATAGCCCTCCTGAAAAGGTTCTCGGAGTTGGTGGCGGGTGCATCGGTGAGCGGGTACTGTACATAATCTTTCCATGACTCGCGGGGAATTGGGTCTTAACTCGGCGTTCTGGTTTTGGCTCGGTGTTTTGCTTGCATTTACCCTGCTGGCGTTCTCAATTTGGTACCTTCATGCGGTTCACGGTTCAGCGAATCAAATGCGCTATATTTTTCATCCACGCCTCTAGTCGGGTATATGTAGACGGTAGGTAGGATGGCAGGAGATTGTAACCACCGCGCCTATGACGCGCTCTGCGAGTCAGATCTACCTGCAGGATTCCGATCCACTCCAGAGGCTTTCGATAAACAGGAACCACGCGGTTGGCTCTAGAATCGACTCTGTGGGAGCCTATCAGTGGATCCAGAGGGGAGAAAGCAGAAGGATTCAACAAACCTGCGGTGCAAGCGACGCACCAAGTACATACTGGGTAGTACGATTTCCGGCTGATCCACGACACTGAAACACAATCTCCACCTGTGAGAGCTACTTACTGAGCAGATCGCACCAGGCTCTTCTTCGAGCAAAGCCGAACTCTAACCAAGGGTGTTGTTCCAAGGTTCGTTGCTGTCAACCGGCTTTGGGCAGAGAGACTAATTAGGGCAGGGATCGTCACACGCGGCGCGCGGCGACAAATCTTGGTACGTAGCGGTAGGTGGGGTTTATGGCGTCCAGAATCCGGATTCCTCAATGAGAGACGATGAATGATAGACATGCGCTTGAAGGGATTGATCGAACAGTCGATGCTATTGGTATATCACGTGAGCCCGGTCATGCATGCTAGCAGTTTATCCACGGTTACGGAAGACTATTGCGGCCACTCGGCAAATGGAAAATCTGCCGGCAAAATTATAAGCAAAACATAAACCCCAGTAACCCTAATAATAGAAGATGATTTAAGATAGTCTTTAATAAAGAACCCTAAGAACAATGCCTTTGACCCTAGAAAATCTAAAAGATCCTAATATAAAAAGATGCTGAGTTGGTTATATAATTTAAAGAGCTTTTTTAGAGGATAAAAAAAAGAAGGGGGGGGGGAAAGGCGGGTAATAATAGAAGAAACTAAAAAATAATTTAAAAAGTACTTTGATTATATGGACTCTGGAGGCCGGAGGAGACAGCAGTAGAAAAGAGGACAGAGAAGAAGACAGTAAAAAAAAGCAGCAGAGAAAAGGGCTTAGTTATAGTAACTATTTTAATAGGCGGTTACTACTGCGGTAAGGATACTGGGTGAGAAAAATTCCATTTGCCGAGTGGCCGCAATAGTCTTCCGTATACGGTAGGATAGTCAGGAAGGCAGGGTAGAGTTCTCGCAGCATAGTGGATCCAGCCGATCAGCGGGCCAGGTGATCCACCCCGCGCGCTGTGAGATCGACGCTCCATAGCCATCGAGATTGCCATCGTCGGGCAGTCTCGGGAGATGGCCGGGAGTAGATGGATGACGGAACGTGGTTGCGGGCCGATTCGTCGTGTAGGTAGCCTGTTTAGATGGCCGGAAGGTCCATGAAGCTCGTGCATCTTGTATATCTTCGGCTAAGGCACTATGTGTGGACTTTACCAATGGAAGTCCTGCATCAAAACGTGCAATTTGAGCTAGCCTACGTGAAGAACGCATTCTAGAAGTAAAAGGACCTCGCGGGAACAGATTTCAATGAAGCGAGGTAATTCTTGCTGCGACAGAAACGAAGACAAGAGACGCATGCAAACAGAATGGATATACCGCACGCCCACCAACTAAGAACATGAAAAGAAAATAAGTGCCAAGAATAACAACCAGCATCATTGGTCTAGTGGTAGAATTCATCGTTGCCATCGATGAGGCCCGTGTTCGATTCACGGATGATGCACTCACTTTTTGCCTTTTGCTCCCAGTTTCCTCCAACGACGACCCACTCCGTACATATAATGCAAAAGGAAAGCGGCTGGCTAAACCAAAAACCTCACTGTAGCCAAGTTCAATCAACAGACATCACAATACATCCCGGTCCAACCCCCATCCACATTCCGCGAAATTCATCCAGCGCAGCAAGTCTACTCTCCGCCCAACCCATACAATTCTCGTTCTCGATCTCTACTCCCCTTCCCTCAGGAACAACACCCAAAGAAAAACAACTTACCCCCCCTCCGCCCCCCTTACCATCTCCGCAGTCGGCGCCTCAACATCCCCCCGCCCAAACTCTTCAGTGTCAGGCAACTCCAACCTCACCTCCCGCAGCACCGCGACCTCCAACCCCCTCCCCTCGCCCTCCCCCTCGCTGTCCTCATCATGTTCCACCGCCACCTCGAAATCCAACACATGCCCCCCCTTCTCCTCGTCCTCGGACAAGAAATGCAGGTGAAATCCGGGTACCCCGATCCCCACTGTATACGCTGGGGACCAGAAGCCGAACAGGGTTCCTTTCGAGCGGCCGTGGTTGGTCACTTTCTGGCGGGATGCGCAGTCCGCGAGGGTTTCCTCTGGGGAACTGCGGCGAGGAATGATGCGGGTGGTGAGCCAGGCGAAGGTCGTGGTGAGGCGGAGGGAGAGGAAGGTGTTTTTGTTGGTGTCGAGGAGCGGGGTGAGGAGGGCGGAGAGGGTTCCCAGGGTGATTTTCTCCGAGGTGGTGGTTGTTGGGAGTGGGAGAATGTGTGTTGGTTGGAAGGTGGTGAGCATGGCGAAGGGGATGGTGTCGGTGGGGTTTAGGGGCCGTACGGTGGCATTCGTGCTGGAGGGGAAGTGGTAGGCGCGCGAGTTCATCACGATAATCTCCCCGTCTAGGTCGGAGAAGGTGCCTAGACCGTACGTGCCTTGTTCGAGGAGCGTGGAGGCGTCGAGGCCCTCGGTGCAGATGCCGGAGAGGAGGGCGCTGATGGTGCTGTATTGGTAGAGGGTGTTGGTGTTGGTGTCGGCCATTGTGGTGGGTTTCGGGTGGGTGAGTTTGAGAATGTCAGAGGGTTGTTTGTCGGTGGAGGGGAGAGTTGAAATATGGTAGATGATGTACACCACCCCCTTAGGATGGATGTATGATAAACGGGGTGAGTTGGTGCTTGTGCAGTGGTGGATGACGATTAGGGCTACCGAGTTTGGTGATCTGCAGCTACCGCTGTACCACCAGGAAATGCATGCCGCGCCGCATCGGGACTCTCCGTTCCCTGGAATTTCCCCACAGATCTCCTACTTCCGAAGTCGCATTCCTATCTACGTACGATGATTCTCGAGAGAGTATCGGCCGAGTGTTTTGGAGGTTGCTGCAGCTGGAGAAATTCGTCGATCCAACCTGGCATTCGATCGGATGCAGCGACTCGGACTAGATCTTTAGCAGCTGCTGGCCATTCTCAAGGCGATTTTCCTCATGAACAATGCAATGTCACCTTTGCCTCTTCCCAGGCACTGTATGTATACTCCTTTACGGTTCTTTATACATGTCAGTGGATCCTATGTGGCGAATTAGCCTGCCTAGTAGAACTTGCCTCATTAGAGATACTTGTTTTCTTTGACTTCGTCAGGCTGAAGCCAGGATTCTGGAGACCCATCCGCCCTGACTCACCATGATTTTGATATAAGGCCTCTCGGCCCTTCCAAAATAGGAAGTAGTAAAGGGGCCACGTAGGCAGTGGCGCGAACCGACAACCTTACTGCCCGAACCGAGCAAATTCCTCATGCCGTCATTCTGTATTGACTCACACACGACCCCTAGGGATATTCACCGAACGACACATTCTCAACCGTCGAGCCTGCGGGTATAAAGATGGTAGCGGAGTCGGTGGTCTATACGAAGCCCCATGCAATCGAAATCAGCCTCGGTGCCTCGCAACATGACTCGCAACGAAGAGACTCAGCTGACAGGCGGCGAGTATATCTGCGAAGAGCTCGCCCGCCGTGGGGTCGAACACGCATGTAAGTAATATTCATTCCCGTTTCCGGTGGTTCTCCAACTGAGGGGCTGGCGTCCTGATGAACAACGCAGTTGGCATCGCCGGCGGTGCGGCCTTAGACATCTTTGATCCCCTGCACTCCCATCCGCCCTTCACCTTCATCCTAGCCCACCACGAGCAAGACGCCGGCCACATGGCCGAGGGGTACGCCCGTGCCTCGGGGAAACCAGGCGTGGTGATGGTGACCTCCGGGCCGGGGACCTCCAACCTGGCCACCCCGCTACTGGACGCGCTCCTTGACGGAGTGCCACTGATTGCCATCTGCGGGCAAGTGCCGACAGGCGTGCAGGGCACGGATGCTTTCCAGGAGATTGACAGTCTGGGATTGGCAAAGACCTGCACGAAGTGGTGCGGGATGCCGCATGGTCCTGAAGAGCTACCGGAGTATATTGCCCGAGCGTTTGAGGAAGCCACCAGTGGAAGACCGGGGCCGGTCCTGCTGGCTATTCCTAAGGATGTGTCTGGCGCACAGTTCTGTCCCGAGCAGGTGCAGGATGGCGACAGGACCGATGACAAGTGCTCTTCTTCCGTTCCTGAACAGCCAGAAGAAGGGAATCTAGACGAAGTCGCAAACTTGATAAACAAGGCCAGCAAGCCGGTCATCATCGCAGGCCACGGGCTCCTTGGCTCTCAGCGTGGGCCGGAGCTGCTCAACCAACTCATGGATAGAATTGCCATTCCCGTGACGACCACCTTCCTAGGCCTAGGCGCCTTCGACGAACTCCAGCCCCTAGCACTAGGCATGCTGGGCACGTACGGCACCGTACCCGCCGACCTAGCGGTGCAGAACGCCGACCTGGTCCTCGTGCTTGGAGCGCGCCTCGATGAGCGGGCCGTCGGGAACGCCGACGGGTTTGCACCTGCTGCGCGGGACGCCGCGACCAAGGGAACCGGCGGGATCGTGCATTTCGATATCTCTTCCGAGCAGATCGGGAAGGTTGTGGGTCCGACTGTCTCGGTGGTGGGGGATTTGGGAATGACCTTGCCTTCACTCCTGGAGAAAGTCACGCCTGTGGAAGCAGAGGTGAGGGGTAAGTGGTTGGCGACGGTTCGGGACTGGAAGCAGCGTTTTCCGCTGGAGTATCAGCCTCTTACGCCTGGGGAGAAGCAGGGGCTGCTGCCGCAGGAGGTGATTATGCAGTTGGAGGCATGCACCCGCCACCGCAAGGAGGAGATCCTGCTCACGACCGGAGTGGGGCAGCATCAGATGTGGACGGCGCGGTACTTTCGATCCCGCGTGCCCAAAGCGGTGATCGGCTCGGGGGGTCTGGGGACGATGGGCTTCGGGTTGCCCGCTGCCGTTGGAGTGAAGCTGGCGCGGCCGAAGTGTACGGTGATCGACGTGGATGGGGATGCGTCCTTGTGTATGACCTCGCAGGGGATCCTGACGGCCGTGCAGCATGGGGTCGATGTGAAGGTATTGCTGCTCCGGAATGAGGAGCAAGGGATGGTGCAGGAGTTGCAGCGGGGGATGTTTGAGGGCCGGATCACGCAGGTCGACCAACGTAATCCGGATTTCGTGCGGTTAGCGGAGAGTATGGGGGCGAGGGCAAAGCGCTGTGAGCATTGTGAGGAGTTGGAGGATGGGATTGACTGGTTGTTGGGGGGGAAGGGCGTGGCGTTGCTGGAGGTAGTGGTGCAGGGGAGGTTGCCTATGGTGCCCAAGGTGGCGGTGGGGAAGGCGTTGCATGGGATTTTGGATGGGTTGGAGGAGAAGGAGAAATAGACGAGGAAGAAGAAGAAGGAGGAGGAGAAGGGGGATAGAAATTAACCGGGAGCAGAACGTCCTTATGTCCCTGTCTATAGTAATTGTTATTTAGTGGCCTGATTATTCTTAGGGCTACTCTCCGCTTCTATATACTTTTCAGATCTCCCCGCGCTGCTAGCTAAATTGCAACGCCTCGCGAGTTTCACTTGATACTTGCCATAACATAAGGACAATAGTAGTTAAGATCACTATATCTTAGTATCAGAAAAACTATTTAGTTACTGCTTGCTGAATTTCCAGTGAGTGTAAGTCATCTCACCAGGTTGTTATGCAGTTGGCTGAGATGGCATGTCATCCCACCCACATTCTCCACGTCGTACTATACAGGGTACATGCATAAGGAGTAGTAAGCAACACCCCGATCCATCCTGCATAAACACCCCCATTCATCCCAAACAAAACACTCCAAAAGACGAAACAGAAGTGGAGCCAATCCCCACCCCGCGCCCGACACTTTGCCTCCTGAAACCGATTTGAATTGGCTGTCGTGTACTCCGGATCTTGTAGCGAATCTAACCGATGCTGCTTGTCAATCAACATTTGTTCTTCTTTGTGTTGGTGAGGAGAGATTGACTTCCAACGCGACTTGACAGCCAGTAACATTAACAGCAGGCAACTGGCTTACTAAACGATGACTACCACCACGTGAGTAAGTTACGTGTCAATGTTTCTCCGACACATCTTGAACAACAATCACTTCCACTTATTATCACTTCTTTCGGTTGTCTCGATCCTCGCCACATATAAGTCGGACCGTGATACTGAGATCTATGATTCTCCCATATTGTCATGATGCGCAAATTCGCTTCTCGCCTGACTAGGCGAGAAAGCATGCCCTCGCCCTCTAACGGTTCTTCGAGTACGAAAGTGAGCCGGAGCCGGTCAGTCCATACCAATTGGAACACAGACCCCGACCTTTTCCGATATACGAGAGGCCGATTTGTCTCCAATGAAGCGCATGAGATGGCGATCCGAAATGTCAATTTCAACATGAATGAATTGGCGAAGCGTGCGGCTGAGTCCGTTGGCTCGACGCTCACCCAATGCGCCCGTGTCGAAAAGTTCCCCGACGGGATGTTCAATAAGGCGTTTCTTTTCACAATGCAAGACGGTACACAGGTGGTTGGTAAAGTCCCCAACCCTAACGCGGGGCGGGCTCATTATACCACCGCTCGCGAAGTGGCAACCATGGATTTTGTAAGTGAGATAACACTCCTAACCTCTCCTTTCCATTCTTATGTGTCATCTAGGTCAGAAATCATCTAGGTACTCCGGTACCCAGAGTGCTTGATTGGAGCTCCAAGGCAAACGAGAATCCCGTGGGCGCGGAATACATCATCATGGAGATGGTCACCGGCGTCCAACTTAAGACGATCTGGCCCCGTTTAGACATTAGGGAGAGATTTGAAGTCGCAAAATCAATCTCAAAGTATTCAAAAGCCTGGATGTCCACACCATTCACCCAATACGGGAGTCTATACTACTCATCCGATCTGGATCATACCGATCCATGCGTGCTCACTCAAGAGGATGGATGTAAACACACAATGCATCGCTTTGCTGTCGGTCCGTCAACAGGTCGAGAGTTTCTTGATGATGGACGGATCGCATTGGAATTCGATCGAGGCCCATGTAAGACGCTTCACTCAACCCCGTTGAGATAATCTGCTTATATTTGTTCCAGGGAACAGCGTTGAACAATACAAGTTAGCAGTTGGACGCCGCGAGATCGCCTGTGTACAGAACATGGCTCAACTACCCCAATCGCCTCTGTCGTTATATGGTCCCGGCATATATAACCCCTCTCGTTCGAAAAAGATTGCCGCTCTCCACAACTACCTCCGTGTAGTCAAGTATCTTCTACCCTTGGAAAAATCAATATCATCTGCTTTCCTGTGGCATCCCGACCTCCACCGTGAGAATATTTTTGTACATCCTGAACGGCCAACAGAAGTACGGGGAATTATCGATTGGCAGTCGAGTGAAATCTTGCCACTTTTTGATCATGCCCGTCAGCCATACTTTCTTGATTATGATGGTCCATCTATGACCGGCTTGGATCCGCCCGTATTTCCGGAAAACTTTGATCAACTTGATCCCGCCGAGCAAGCGGCAGCTCAGAGTCTGTATCTGAAAATGTCACTCAGTGCTTTATATCGACGGTTCACATGTGCGAATAACGAAAAACTATTCCGAGCCATGGAATTTCGACAGACCCCCAGTTTTGAGATGATGTTGTTTGCTCAGAATATCCTTGTTGATGGAGAGGCGCTCTACCAATCCAGGATGCTCGAGTTAGAAGATGAATGGTCAACTCTACCGGGCGTCCAGGCTGCTGGGAACCCACCGATTCCGTTCCATTTTTCCGCTGGCGAGGCTGATGCAATCGAGGAGGATGCCGCTGGCGCCCTAAAGGCCATGGAATTAATGCAAAGTTTAAGACAGTCGTTAGGTAACTTGTGGCCCGAGAAAGGGGTAGTCTCACCTGGCCATTATGACGAAGTGAGAACACTTCTGGACCAAGCTAAGGCCGAGATCGTTGGTCAACTCGCCCGCTCCGAAGAGGAAAAGATTGCATGGGAAAAGTCATGGCCATATCATGGATAGTCCCAGGAAGGTATACCCGTCCATAAGGCAGACCCCGGCGTAAATGGAATCACAGTAGCCACTGCAAACATACCAAGGATAGTATGACCTTTGAGAAGAATCTCATACGATATGTGGCAAAGCAATGGCAGTGGAGGACAAGCAGTGCCAGAAGAGCAGTGGCTGACTGTATCAATTGTAAGCTAAATTGCTCCCTTAGTAGGAGGGTGCTGACCATCAGGCCATATCGATCAAGCCTATCCCCAAGTCAAACGCGTAGCTTCAAAGGGCAAAACCACGTGCAAGGTACTTTAAACAATGCGACTGACTTCAGTGGTGCGATGAAGATGGCGATGGCACGACAAGGAAACTCCCTGCAGCCACTTCGTATCCATGGTCTAAACTCTCTATCGCCCGTTCATCATCCGAACCGACTTGAATAGGGTATCTCATATATTCATCATCCGACTCTACCCCTCCCTCCTATTTACAGACTCTCCCCCCTGCGATAGTATATACACCGCCCCCCAAACTACCACTCGACCCGATCATCATGCACCAACTCGACATCCCACCTCTCTTCTCCACGCCACACTTTCCCTGGCTGATTATGCGCTGCCACCGCCCCGCGCAGCGTGGTGATGATGCCCGCGGGCCCGCTGGCCAACACCCGCGTCGGACCGTCCACCACTTTATCTAAAAACTCCGTCACTTGGGCAGTGAGGTCCGGATGTGTGCTCGATCCCGATGCACCAGCCTTATCTGCGAGAGTGTAATGCACCGCAAAAGGTGGATCTGGATCCGGTACCGTCGAGCCGCAGCACGGTGTCTTCTCGTCCGTGCCGGGGTCACTGCTGGCATTGTCGTCCGGAACATCCCGGGTGATGAAGATGCGCACGCGGAAGGAATTCGGCGACGTCTGCGCCACGCGTTGCAGGATGTCCAGCTCCGGCGCGATCCAGTCCGTGTCGGCTCTGCGGCGGATGATCCAGATGAGTTCGATTTGTTGGTCGGAGGGGTTGGGGGTGGCGATGCGCTGGAGGATCAGGGGGAGGACGAAGGTGATGCCGGTGCCGCCGGCGATGCAGAGCAGGTTGCTTGTGCTGCGCGGGAGGCCACCCATGGAAGAGGGGTCTTCGATGGATTGTCCGTACGGCCCGCAGAGGAGCACGGGGGTTGTCGGCCCGGGACTTGTCATCGTGCTGGTTTCCCCGGCTTGGGGTGTCTGTGTGCGTGCCCTTTCGGCGAGGACGCGCGTCAGCCCCTTTCGGGCGCGGATCAGGTAGGTGTGTTGTTGGCCGGTTGGTAATGTGTCGGGCACACTGCAGGGGGTGAGCGGGTGCGCTTGCCAGAGGCTGAGGTCGGGGAAGCACAGGAAAAAGTGCTGGCCGATGTGCCAGGGGTCGTGGTTGTGGTGGAAGTCCAGCCGGATAATGTCACCGTCGGTGGGGTTGGCGTGCAGCTGCATCGCGGCGTGGGGAATGTGTAGGCCCCAGCTGGAGGCTGTCGAAGGCAAGCCTAAGTGGTGCAGCACAAAGGTCCGCACGAGCCGCGCCCCCCGGTCCAATAGCCAGACGACCAGCGAGGCCAGCATCCAGCAGTATAGATGCGCCCAGTGCGCCCAGCACGCCCCCACGTACACCATCGCCACGACGTAGTGCGCCTTGCGGAAGAACTCGTACCCCGTGAGTCGGATGACGGTCTTCGTGCTGTGCAAGACCAAGAAGGTGAGCAAGATCATCGCCACGATCCCCCAGATGATGTAGGGCTGCGCGATGAAGCTGTTCCACTGGCTGGGCTGCGGCTGGTACAGACGGCCCTCCACCACGGTCCAGCCGATGGTGTGCAGGGCCGACTGGGCGTAGATCACGTAGCCCAGCCAGCGGTGCAGGAAGTTGAAGTGGTGGTAGGGGATGCCGGTGATGAGCGACAGGAGGGATTCCCGGCTGGAGAGCAGGATGGACAGTGGTGTTAGGGCAAACGCCAGCACGCCGACACGGTCCGCCCACGGGCCCAGCCCGCTGCGGATGTTGGACTGCGTACTGCCGCTGATGGGCGTCGTCCACGTCTTGTAGGTGATGCCCACCAGGGTGAACACCAACAGGTAGCCCGAGAGCACGAGGAAGATGAGCAGCTGCAGCCGCGTCGTGTGGCCGAACACCGGGGGGAGGGCTTCCGGGAGCAGATGGCGGCGCGTCAGGGCTTGGAGCGTCCTTGAGAGACGATATAGTGCGCTCTGCTTGCGGGGTGCATCCGGGGTGGCCTTGGGGGGTGAGGGCAGTCGCTCAACACGGACCAGCCGTCCGCCCATCGCCCACAGAAACAAGATGCCCACGATCACGGCCCACAGGATGAAGCTGTACAGCATGGTGACGTCGTGGCCATGGTAGACGGCGTCGAGATAGGCGCAGGTGCCGGCATCCTTGGTGCAGGGGATCTGGCGGGCGACATAGCCCCAATGCTCCTCCAGAGCGGAATCCTGGGAGAAATCCTGAATATGGCCCATGAGATGATCGACTGGAGGAGGGGAATGTACATTGTACTGTACATGAGTAGCTGGGCCCATATGCAGGGCATCCGGAGTCTTTTATCTCATCGACCCGCTGTCGAGTGGAGCCTGCCAAGACCGAAATCTGCTCATTGCCAAGCATCCTGCGTGATAATCTGCTCATTTCTCGCCTCCATATAAGACCCGGTGGGTTTCCTGCTGAGGGTGAGGATATCCCCCCCGTCTTGGACCACAGTGTGCTCTACAGTGACTGCACACCCCGTTCCACCACTACCACCATGGACATGGACATGTCAAGTTCCTCCAATTCGAGTGCCTGCTCGGTGACGGTATGTGTATTAGCATCAATTATGCATGCATTAACAACAGAATGACTAATCCGTATAAAGATGCTCTGGAACTGGACCACCATCGATAGCTGTACGATCTCCCGTCTTCAGTCGCAAATCCCCATTCCCGCATCACCACAACCCTAACTCCTCCACCAACAGGCTTCCTCGCCTCCACCTGGCACATCACCACCGCCGGCCAATTCGCCGTCTCCTGCATCGGCGTCGCCTTCCTGGTCGTCGTCCTCGACGTCCTGCGCCTGCTGAGCAAACAGTACGAGGAGCGGCTCCAGCGTCAGTTCCAGCGGCACGTCGCGGCGCAGTCCCCCGCCGAGCGCACGCAGTTCTTTTGCGGTGACACGCTGGCCGATGGGCCGATGGTGGTGACCTTCCGCGCCAGCCCGCTGCAGCAACTCATCCGCGCGCTGCTGCAGACGATGCAGTTTGGGTTGGCGTATATCATCATGCTGAACGCCATGTCGTATAATGGGTACATGATCATTTCGATCTTTCTGGGGGCGTTCGTGGGGAAAGTGCTTTGCGATCGCGGGGAGTATCGGGTGGTGCTTCCGGCGAAGGGGAAGGTGGCCGGGGAGGCTGCGCCGCCGGCCCCAGACAAACCGGAGGAGTGGACGACGGGGTGCTGTGGGTAGAGGCAGGATAGACCTGCGTTTCGAATTAGATTTTTCTTTTCAATAATGATGCTGATGATTCTGAGGATTATGATGGTGTTGGGTCGTATGGGTAGATGCAACAGTCACGTGACTGATATGAATGGTGGCGGAGTCAAGAGGGTTCTGCCTGAATGCCAGAAAGTGGCCCAAAAGTCTTGTGCAGGTGGAATGGACGTGAATATGGTCTATTTATGAAGTGGTGTCCACCGAGAAAATAAGTACACTAACTAGTATACAGCTAAGCCTGCTCCTTGGCCAACTCCTCCCGCACCCGAGGCAGGATATACCGGCCATAGTCCACGGCATCATTGTAGTTGTCATACCCGCGGATGGAGATCAGCTCCGCACCCAACTTGACGTAGTCTAGCAGGGAATCCACAATGGTCTGATGCGAGCCCACCAGCGCGGTGGAGGCGCCCCGCGCATTGGTGGCCGTGACGGTGGGATACCACAGGGCGCGGTCCTGGACGTCCCCGCGCTTGGCGATCTCCAGCAAGCGCTGCGAGCCCGCGTTCTGCGGCGGCGGCGCATCGGCAGCCACGCGGCCAAAGCCGTTCTGGCGGTGCGACGTCAAGAGATCCAACGTGCGATGCGCCTTGGCCCAAGCCAGCTCGTCCGTCTCCGCCGTGATGGGCCGGAAGGTCACCCAGATCCGGGGCCGGTCCGTCTCCGGGCGCCCGGCCTTGTCTGCCTCGGCGTAGATGCGATCGATCTGCTCCTTCGTCTCCTTCAGTGGCTCTCCCCACAGTCCGAAGATGTCGGCCAGACTGCCTCCGATGCGGTAGGCCTCGTCGGACGAGCCGCCCACCGACACCGGGATCGTGCCGTTGACGGGCCGCACTCGGTTGCTGAACCCCTTGAAGGTGTAGTAGGGGCTTTCCCAGTCGAATGGCTCGTCGGACTCCCAGGCCCGTCGCAGGATGCGGATATAATCCTCCAGACGGCCGTAGCGTTGCTCTTTGGTCAGGAAGTCGCCCTCCCGCGCTTGATCGGCGTCGCTGCCTCCGGCGATGAGATGCACCACTGCACGGCCTCGGCTGAGTTGGTCCAGGGTTGCCAGGGCCTTGGCGGCGACGGTGGGGTACAGCGTGTTGGGACGGAGAGCAATGATGATCTTGAGGTTCTTAGTTACTGCGGCGATGGTTGCGCCCGTCGTGAAAGGGTCGAAATACGACGAGTCGTAGGGTACCAGCGTGTAGTTGAAGCCGTAGTCGTCCAGCGACCGGGCATACCGCACGAGAAAGTCGGGGTCAATGGAGGCATTAGGGATGGGGTTGAGCTCCGTAGAAGGATTGGGGAAAGTGAGACTGATGAATTCGGTAGGCATGGTGCTGGTTGATGGGGTTTTGGTTGGAGTTAGGGCTGGGTGCTGGGTGTGCTGGGTGTGTTCTGTCGTCGGCCGCCGGCTGGCTTTATAGTCGCCCCTCCGAACATCGGATGCCGGCACTTGTTATGGCACCAACTGCAGGTTGGATGGCGTTGGCCGTGGGTTGATCCGATAGCTCTGGTCTGAGCGTATCATGAGGGGCGATGGTCGGTTCCTGGCTGCATGGCGTCAAACCCCCCGCAATCACGTCATCAATGCTGCGTCGTGCTGACAAACTGGGCTGGGAGAGAGATAAGAGCATTTGCAGATGAAATAACGCTTGTTCATGATTCTTTACTTCAAGAAAATAAGACGTGAAGGTGAAAGTTGAGCAGTGGCGATGTGTGGATCAATCAAGAAGGAAGGGTCGAGCCCGATCTTGCCCTACTAAACCCTGCCGCTGCTTGTACAGGATTCATCATGAACATCTACATTCTTGCTCTGCATGTTAAACATTGAGAGCTTACTCAACAAATGATGCCTATTCCATTAACTCACCAAAATGCACATCCGTTCCAATTAATTCGTCCATACCATTACACCCGCTCTTCCACCTTTGCCTTCCACAGCAGCTTCTCCAAGGTAGTGAAATGCATCCCGGCAAAGAACTTCTCTCGCTGTCGTAGCGTCTTCTCCTGAGGACAGGCAGTAGCACCGCTAATCGTCCATTCCTCCGCCTCGGCGATGGCCAGCTTCAGACTCTCCGGTTGGTCCTCGTACTGCTGAATCGTGGTTCCAATTCCCTCCTCTGATCGGTAGTCTCTCTCGAAGGGTCGGCCTGACATTTATGAGCCACGCCTCTTTCTACTCCTTTTTGCCATAGATAGAACTGGCATAGGATAGATACCGAGTCACAGCTCGAAGGGAAGGACGAGTAACATACCGTATACCCTCTCCAACAGGGATGCCATCTGATTGAACGTCCCCCACTCCCCGACCACATACGTGACCGGCTCCTAGATTAGGGTAATGTTAGCCCTAACCCTTGTTCATCACGCTCATCAACCACCTGTGACAATGGAATGACCTCCCACAGCAGCCCACAATCAGGAGAAGACAAAGATTGAAAGAAACTCACCCAACTCCCATTATCAGCAGCTAGTAATCTCCCTACCGCACACGCTATGTCGCGCGCACACGTCCAGCTCTGCGCCTCCTCTCCCGTCCCGCGGACGGTATACTTCCACCGGGTAAGATCGATCGGAAACTCCCCTGGCATACACCTGCGATAGGACTTGTGGGCTGGGAGGAAGTATTCCATGCACCAGCCGTGATTGAACAGTGTGTACTCTATTTTTTTCACGGGGTGGGATGGGGGATCGGTTTTCTGGGAATCTGCCTCTCGGGCGAGAGTCTCCCGGAACGGAAGACGAGTCCGACCGTATGCTCGCGGCAGGGTCGGGAAAGATTCGATGTCCCCTGCCCATTCGGATGGGATAAAGCGGGTGCAGGTTTCAGTCTGCTGACAAGCTTCTAACAGGGTGGTGTGGAGGGGGTGGTATTGGTCATCTGGGCAGCGGAGGAGGGAGATTAGGGCAGTGGTGCGGGTGGTGCGGAGGATGTGTAGGAGGGAGGGAAGGGTGTAGTCTGTGGTTTGGGTGGTCACTCTTTCAGTGGTTGGGGTGGAAGGGTTGGTCTGTGTTGTTAGTCTTTTGATTAACTGAGAGTTGACAAGGTGAATAGTATGAGAGATAGTAGAAAAGTGTGATGGATTAGGGGGGAGTGGGGGCTCAAACGCTTACCTGCCGAGTAAGAATCACGACGCTGTAACGGGGATCTCTGAGGAGCTCTTCCTGGAGGTAGTGGCCCAAGTCGCCGCTGCCGCCTGCTAGGGCTATTACTTGGGGTTCGGTCATTGCTGTAGACATACTGGGGGGTGTAGATCAGCTAGGAAGGGACATGTTTGGGCTGGGATGATGGATGGTAGAATTGGTGAGATTGAGGGATGAGAATACAGACAGGCTAGCTGAACCTATTTGAACTTGAGCTGCCAGCTGACATGTGTCTGGGTATATGGCGAATCGAGCTAGAACGTATGGACACCCGCGAACACGTCAACATCTACATGTGGTACATGTTTGTTAACCCTACAGTAGCATATGCAGCTACCTTTCCAATGATAAGGCCTTATTGACTGCGTACTTCAATCCAATCCTCTTGGCCAACCATCCCTAGCAATCGTTCCAGATTATCTCTCACCATCCACCATTCATTCCAAGCATCGTCTATTTCAATCGATGGCGAGAAATGTGACCCCGCCCATCACCAAACACAGCACCGCTGGCATTCATCAAACCAGAGTCAGTCCGTACTAAAACCAGCCTAGCCCACTCAGAAACGAGAAAACATACCTAGAATCACATTCATCTGGTAATATCCCATCCTCTCCGTCAAGGTCCCCGTGACCAAGGGCCCCACAAACATCCCCAGCTTCCAGCTGATGTTGGACATAGAGAACGACCGCGAGTACCCGCCGTGCGGCCCGAAGAAGCCTGGATACTCGTGGGAAAGCTCGTTGGCGCCGTCTTCACACATCCAGGGTTAAATTTGGATTCGGTTAGACACAAAAAATCTCGACTGACTCACGTAGAACCTCGACAGCCCCGAGCCCCAGCAACAAAGTCCGCCAGACTCCGATCGCCAGTAGTGTAACGATATAGATCACCCGGTTCGTATTCTTGTTGTCCGTCCACCAAACCAAACGTCTTGTGCGCGTCCCGGAATTCCGAGTAGGCACAGCGATGGGGCCAGGCATAGAAACCCGATCGTCACGGGGAATCGCATCCCAATCCGGTCTTTCAGCCACCCTGCTGGAATGACGAGGATCATCGATGGAGCCTGCAGGAGTAGGAACAATAGCCCCGCTTGAAGAGGCTCCCAGTGGAAGACGGCCTTGATGTGGATGGGGATCGTGGTCTCGAAGCTAGCGATGATGATCGCAAAGAGGGTATCTGCTATTAGTGCTGTAGCTACCTTTTCTTGCGGAGCATGAGGGAATAGACATTCTGGGTGGGGAGGGAGGTGGATTCTGCGATTGTTTGGTAATGCGTGCTCTCGGGGTGGGATACGGAGCAGAGCAACGGGCTTCGGATCTGTGATTCTTCTTCTATGTGACACTCCTGAATGCACGTATCGTAGTTGAAAGGACCGATTATGAGGAGTTGCAGAAGAGTCCCGACGAGTATCACGGCGAATGCACTCCCCCATGTCATAGCGTAGGACACGAACTGGTAGAGAGACCCCGACACAGCCGGGCCACTGAGGAGCCCCGCCGAAACGAAGAGCATGGCCAAGCCCAGGGATTTAGCCAGATGTTTTGCTCCCACTATATTCCCAAGAATGGCCATGCCGACGATCCAGATCACCGACCCGGCTAGGGTTTGGATGATTCGGCCAATGAAGAGAACAGACATGGTAGTACCTCATGCTGTGATGGCTGTGCCGATTGCGTTGGCCACCCATGAGATCACCATCCACTGGTTATTTGACCTGGAGCCATTCGCTAAATGGCCGGTGAACGGCGCGATGAGGATCGAGATCAGCGCGTTCAGGGTCAAAAGGATGGAGGTGAGGAGCTGCGTGTGCGAGGGTGATTGTTGGAGTCGGTCTTCTAGGATGTCGGGCAGGATGGGGATGACGAAGCTGAAGAGGAAGGTGTCTATCGACTCGATTAAAGGACGCGAGGAGAGATGAAGGGGTGCTTACCAGCGAACATGGTGAGGGAAATGACTGCCACGATGAACAGGCGCGAGGATCGCCACCCATAGCCGATGGACTTCGTGGGAATGATTTTCGAGGTCATGGCGACAGTCAATCAGGTCAGGGACCGAGGAGCATTGATTCTACCAATCTATTCTTATCGTGTGTTGAAAGATTCGAGTGACTACGAGTAGTTAAATTCAAGCAACGGCATTCTCGAATATCACTCTAGCACCTTCTGAGCCTGTCAGCTCAGTTATGACATAAAGCGATAACCCTCATTCCCCACTTGAATACGAATCCGTACGCCCTAATCACTCGTTGCTCTAATAAATCGGCCTATGGCTATGCAGAGCGAATGGCTCCTACTGCCAAAAGCGATTGATTGGCCTGGGCCAGACAAAGAAAAAGCACAGACGGCCTTCGTGTCACGCCAAAGCAAGACAAGACCCAAGAATGCACCCTCACTACACTATCAACCCCAGCTCCGTGGCGGCGATCTGCAGTGCAACGAAACGGGAGTAAATGCGACACAGTGATAGGCTTCCACCCATGAGCCACAAATGGGGATGCCCGCTCGGTCTCCAGATCTATTCGGGGATTCGGTCAGTCTGGCAATTTCTGGTCTGCGCGGTGATGTAAGGAGGATTTGGGTAATATTGCTGCTGTACGTACCGTCTGTATCTCACCCTCCTCGTCCAGATCCCACACGTCCTTGCATTGGTCGGCCACCTTCGGCCCTAGCGTGTGGCGCACCGAGTCGCGCATGTTGGCGTACCCCGTCGCCAGCACCACAATGTCTGCAGCCAGATAAGAGTCGTCGGCGAGGTGCAGACCCCCTTGGTCGAAAGAGTCAATACCGCCCGCACACGAATGCAAACGGATCTTGCGGTCGATCAGTAGCTGACTGCAGCCGAAGTCGATGTAGTAGCCCCCGCCTCGGGAGACCAGCGAGCGTAGCAGTCCGGCGCCGTCGAGGCCAAAATCCAGTTGGAAATCGATGGATCGGAGGCCCTCGAGAACGGCAGAATCAGCGGCGCAAATGCGCTTGGTAAGGTCGACGCAGAGAGCAAGAGTGATGGGCCAAGGCAGGCTTTCGGACAGGATGTCTTGCGTGTTGAGGGGAGGGCTGTGTGGCTGTTAGGGCTGCGGGTTGGAGGTTGGAAGGAGGCGTGAGGGGGCAATCTCACCGATTGTCATCGTCGATGCCATGGTTCTCCGGGATTAAAGGCAATCCGTGCTTTTCGGTCAGGACATACGTCGGACCCCGCTGCAGCATCGTCACGACTGCTCCCTGTTGGTAGAAGTCTTGCGCAATGTCGTGGCCACTATTCCCGGTCCCCACTACCACCACCTTTTTGCCTTGCGGGGCCAATGCCCTGGCGTCAGCATGCTGACTCGCATGGTAGATCGTCCCTTTGAAGTCCGCCTGCCCTGGGAAGCTGGGGACCTTGGGTAGGCCCAAGTGTCCTGCGCACCAAGCGATGTGTCGTGGGCGTACAACACGTTCGACTCCGTCTCGAACGAGGCAGACGGTCCAATGCCCCGCGGTCTGATCATACTCCGCCGACTTGACGTCAGTCTTTGTCCAGACATTTAGCTCCATGATAGTGGAGTATGATTCCAGCCAGTCTGCCAGCTTATCTTTGGGAAGATATTTGGGCCAGGTCTTGGGAAACGGTAAGTGGGCGAGATGGCAGGTTTCTATATGGTCATGGGTAATGAGGGTCTGCTGTCGTATTAGTCCCTTCTTATCCGTTTCATCTGGAGTTGAGAGGATGGGCAAACCCGATATCGCTTTCTCCAGTTATCTCCCACGCGCTCGTTCTTCTCTACAATGAGACACGATTGTCCGAGAGTCCGCAAGCGCACCGCTAGATTGAGTCCTGCTTGGCCTGAAAGGAAGGGTTTAGCATATCATTCACATCAACAACCGAGAAAGGCGCTGACCTGCACCCACTACCAACACTGCGGGATCGATGTCCACAAACTCCTTCTCGCGCTGCCTTCGCTCCAGCCAGTTTCCTTGCGCAACTCCACCCGGCATAGACTCAATGGTCCCATGTGGCCGTCGCAGCCCTAATTTCTCTTCCGCTTCATGCAGCTCCTGCAACGCAGTATATACGGAATATGCCTTCCACCCTCCCTGCTCGGTCGGGGTCAGGTAGAACACCCCGCGTCCGTGGCCGAATCGGGTCTCGAAGGCAAACATCGCCGTGATCCATGTAAGTCCGAGGATTGGGCTGTCAATTGCGGGACTTGTGGCCCCATCGCTGTACAAACGCGCATTCTGCAGTTGTGCACGGGGAAGGCGCTGGTCGAGGTAGCTTTGGATGTTGGGACAGCCTCGGATCGTGTGGAAATCCCAGTCCAGGGCGAGCATGTCGCGCCACCAGCTGTCTTCATGGAAGAGGTTTGAGAGAGTGATGGAGGTGTTGTCGATTAGGTGGGTGTTCAGAATGGCGAGCCAATTCTGGGCGATGGTGATGGGGTTGATGCTGGATGGATTTACCTGGGGGGTGGTGGGAAGTTGGATGATGTGGTGGTAGGGGGGTGTCATGTTGACTGCGCTTTTCGTGAGGTGAATGCTGTGGGTGGATATCTCAAACTTTTTACATGAAGGCTCAGTAGAGAGTCGGTACAGATACAGTACGTCAGATATCTTCCGATGTCAGGATCTGTTCCTACCCGCAACAGCTGCCCCTGAACCCTTACATGACTTCAACCTTGTTTGTACTTATATTATATGTATTGTTACATTGACTCACTCCTGCAGTCTGCCGTGCAAGTGCCATTTGTCTTGTCTATCTGCTGGATGGCGATCCTGAAGAGTTAAAATCTGTGGGGAGTGTTTGCTGACGGCAGCCTTCACAGTGAGCCATCCCTGCATAGGGTTTCGAATGGGCGCCTCAGAGCCAGTCGATAAGGCGCCATGCATCTAGCATCATCTTGTGCTGCAGGAAGTAGCCGGGGGATCCTGGTCCCGGACACGTCAACGCAACAGTCTTTGAAAAGTATCTAATGAATGAGTTTAATAAATGCTCGTTGAGTTTATGGCGTGCTGCACTTGTTCCCACTGCAGTGCGCTCCACCCCTTGCCGAAACGCAGTCTGGAGAAACCCTTTAATCAGCCATATCTTCACCACTTGGAATAACTCCATTGAGAAGGTATTCAAGATTAGGTGATCACCTTTACTTGAATACAGGCCATCGACTCAAGATGTCCACTCCACCAAACTACAGCCTCGCTGCCCCCGCCAAGCGCCCAGAGATCCTCGCCCTCGCGCAGGACCTCAACGGCACTCCAGCTGGGGAGGAGTATGAGAAAATGATCTCGGGGATGATGTACACACTCTATTTGCTCCCCTATATCTAATCAAGTCAAGGCTTACAATAGTGGTCAAGGTACGACCCAACCGTCCCCGCCCTCCTGGAAGCCCGCCATCTCGCCCGCGGCCTCGCCGCTGCCTACAACAACCTCGATACTACCACTGTACCCTTTGAAAAGATTGGGGAAGTGAGGCTACAGCTGCTACGCAAGTTAGTCGGCAAAGCAGGGCACAAGACATTCGTCGAGCCGCCCTTCCGGCCGGATTACGGGTGCAATATCTCCTTCGGGAGGGAGGTTTTTGTGAATTTTGGGTAAGTTAGATTTGGACTTTGTTATCTTATTTCATTGCATGAGTGATGTTGTCTTTGAGACAATGAGTGGCTATACTCTGGACAAAGACGCCTCTCTTGAAAGTCCTAAGTCAAGGGCTAATATCCCCAGACTCACCGTCCTCGACACCAGCCTAGTCGTCGTCGGGGACCGCGTCCAGATCGCCTCGAACGTCAGCATCATCGCCGCCAGCCACGATCCTAGTGTTCTCTCGCGACGGAGGGGGGTTGAGTTCGGGCATCCGGTCTTCATCGAGGATGATTGCTGGATCGGAGCGAATACGGTCATTCTTCCCGGTGTGACGATCGGGCAGGGCTCGACAATCGGGGCCGGATCCGTGGTCACGAGGGATGTTCCTCCTTATTCAGTGGCGTTTGGGAGTCCGTGTCGGGTGAGGAGAGCGTTGTCAACGGCTGAAGAGGAGGAGATGGATGTGGAGAATCCTTACAGGGGGGTATTTATATAGAAGGAGGGGACATACTGAGGTGGCTGGCGAACAGTGCATGCATTTGAGAACTATTTGAAAATCTACTACACAGACAATAATCACTAAATAGAGGACACATTCGAGACATCACCCCCCAGCCAGTGGGGACTGTATCGCACCACCAGAGACGCAGGCGAGGGACATTCCAACAGCTGTGGAGCTGCAGCCAAAGCTCTGCAGAGATTCTCGGTCCCAAATTCTGGCATTCCATGCTGCATCTCCCACAGACTGCGTCCTTCCCAAACTTTCTCCTCTAACAACGGGAGCAAAGATCGAAGGGGACTTCCCTGGGTCTGCGACAGAACCCCAACCCATTCGGAATAAGGAACAGGACGCAGGGGCGTCTTGCCGCGGACCTGGCTCAGCAGAGTGAAGATTGTCGAGAGCTCCACACCTGACCCTGCTGTAGGATGCACCACGTTATACGCTTGACGGGCATGCTGCGAGCCAGAGGCGATATGCAAAAGTGTCGAGACTACCCAATCCACCGGGACAATATCCTCGCGATGACCAGGCAGCAGCGGATAACAGCCACATTGCAGGCTGGCGGCAACGACCCGCGCCAGGAAGTCGTCCGGGTTCATCGTCCCCGTCTCACTGTGCCCTAGGACAAACCCGAGCCGGTAGATGGTGATGGGTAAGCCCTGAGCGATCGCGTTCCAGGCGATAGTCTCCGCCACCATCTGACTCTGCGCGTAACCCATGGCAAAAGGGAGAGCCGACATGTGCGAGGCCGGCTGCTCCTCCTCCGCCAGATGCGTGTGGCCATTCACAACACCTGTGGGCCCGTACGCGCTGATACTCGATGTGTAGTGCAGCGCCTTGGTGCGGCCGCTGTTCGCAAACCGGATCATGTGCAGCGTCCCCAGCACGTTCGCCGCGCGGTGGCTCGAGTATGGCTGCACGAAGTTGACATGCGCCCCAAGATGGAACACCACGCTCGTCCAGTGCGAGAGCCACGAATACTGCTGTGGGGTCAATCCCAGATCCTCGTGGGCGATGTCCCCAGCCATAGCAATAATCCGTGCTTCTTGTGCGGGCGTGAGCATCAGACTGTATTTGAGTAAAGCCTTGCGGATGCGGCGGTGGGCATGCAGGGCATCGGTAGCACGCACCAGACACACTACCGTTTCCACCTCGCTGAGTGCAAGGAGTCCAGCCAGGACGAAGGCTCCTACAAAGCCTGTGGCGCCGGTCAGGAAGACGACGCCCTCGGAAGAACCGCGCCAGTCAGGGATTGACCGCGACAAGGGTCGAAGGTCGAGTCCCAGGCCACAGTCGCGTTGCCATTCTTCCTGCGCGGAGGCTGTGTGGTCCGTTAGGGCTGGAGTGTCGCTGGCTCGAAGCAATGAACACAACGCCCGGAAGGAAGAATTCTCGAACAACACCGAGACGCGGATTTCACAACAAAAGATTTGTCGGATACGAGACACGAGCAGTGCAGCGTGAAGCGAGGTTCCCCCGATGACGAAGAAATCGTCATCGTCGTGGAAAGTGGCGTTGGGAAGTCCGAGTAGCTCTTGCCACAAGGCTCGTAGCTTATCCTCCACACTTTTGGCGCCATTGACTTCATTGTCTCTCAATGATATCGGTGCCAGGCTCTGCAGGTAACCGCTGGCCAGCGCTTTGCGATCGACCTTCCCGCTCCCAGTGAGAGCGATCCGCTCGACAACCTGGATGCGCGGTACCATCAGATACGGTGCCTGTTCGACGTAAAGCTGACGAATAGCGGTAGATGTGATCTTAGGAGAAAAAGGAATCACGCAGACAAGCAAGGCGGATCCTCCATCCAGCTCATCGAGTGTAATTCTCAGTGCGACGGCGCGTACCACGAGCTGGGTCGCCAACAGAGCCTTCTCTATCGCACCCAGGTCGACTCGCTGTCCGCGGATCTTCACCTCGTTGTCGCGACGGCCAAGATAAATGATGTCCCCGGAATCATTTCGCCGCACAATGTCGCCTGTCCGATAGAGCAATCCCGGTGCTGTTTGGCAGTTCTCATGGAGGTGAGGAGCAGACACAAACACCTGGGCTGTCTTCTCGGGCTGTCCAAAATATCCCCCTGCGACTCCAGTGCCACCCACTACCAACTCTCCCACGCTGCCCTGAGTCACGGGGTGGAGGTTCTCGTCGACTACAAAGGCGTCGTATCCACCGAGGGGTCTCCCAATAGGAATCTCACCCCCTTCAATGTCTTCCAGAGTTACCAGGTGATAGGTTGTGAAGACGGACAGCTCCGTCGGCCCGTAGACGTTGAACAGCTTCCGCGGAGGACCGCAGGCGAAGATTGTTCGGATGGTGGGGACATGGATGGCCTCTCCACCTGTTAACAAGCTATCAACGTGGGAGTAGACATGGGGGCAGGTATGTGCGATGGTAGCAAGCAATGAAGTGGTCTGCCACATCACGTTGATTTGGTCCACCTGGAGTCGTCGCTCAAAGATAACTGGATCCAGAAACTCCTCTCGTTGAAAGACAACCACAGTCCCACCGTGCAAGAGCGCAGACCAGATCTCCCACAGCGATACATCAAATTCCACATTGCAGACGTGAGCCACGCGGTCACCACGATGAATTGGGGCAAATTCGTTGAAAACGAGGTTGATTAGTCCAGCAGCAAGCACTCGCACGGCCTTTGGCTGGCCGGTCGAGCCGGAGGTGTGGAGAATATGAGAGCAGCAGGAAGGCGAATTGTCGGACACCGAGAGGTGTTCAACTGTTCCTCCCTCAGCAGAGTCCCAATTGAGAGCCAGATGTTGCAGGTTTGGCAGTCGATGTGCGTTGGAGTTGTCTGCTAGAACTAGAGAGACTCCCAGATGCAGCAAGAGTCGTTCGAGATGGTCATCTGGTAGGTCAATGTCTAAAGGGACACAGGTTGCTCCGGCATACACCACGGCCACCTGGGCCAGGATATGGTTTATTCCTCTCGATATAAGGATTCCAATGGGTTGCTCCTTTGTGACTCCGAGCTTCTCCAGCTTGAGGACAACACTCAGAGCCTTTTCGTGCAGTTGCCGAAACGTTACGCGATAGCCACCCTCCTCGAGGGCATTATCATCTGCGTATAACTGCGCCTTTTGCGCCAGTAGCTGGGCCAGGCTCAGCGCGGGCCTGCTTTCGTTGTACATTCTTGTGGATAAAGCCACTATACAATACAAAATAAAAAGAACCGAGAGGTATCAATCAGGCAAGGACAAGAGACACCACGACGGAGACAGAGATGAGTCCGCTCTGTCACCTCAGCATGCTTCAGTGTTCGCAGTCATGCTTGCGGGAGACCGAGCCCGCTAAGCGCCAGGAGCGAGCTCGATTTCATTGACAACTGATGTGCTACTCTTGAATTTCACAATGCAGCTCACTCTAGACGTTGTTAACCTGCTATGGCCTTCGGAGGGCTAGCTGCGCTCGGTACTGTTCCATTCCGGATCCACAATTTCGGCGCTGACTGGACGTGCAGATAGTGAGATTGATCGGTGACGAAATTTATAGCGGTGTCACGTTGGGTGGAGTTGCAGTGGAATACAATGCACTGAATGGTTGGCAGCCAGCGAGTTCACATTGATCGACCAGGCTGATTGAGTCGTGAAGATTCTATATTTAGGGCCGACCGTCATTCTCGTCGAATTGAGAGTTCGAAACAGCCACCAACAGCCAGAGTCTACCTACTAGTCTGAAATGCGCTGTTGACCCCTTATCAAGACCAAGATGCAGAACACCCAGATCAATTTACTTGATTATCTACGTGCGAGAACGCAGGTAGATCTGGATACGTTTGATGTGACCGGTATGGGTTTCCCGATGATCCTGTGTCAGAGAGCAGTGGTTGAACTTTGTGTAGTGGCAGAAGAGGTTGAACAATGCGTTGATTGCACTTCAAATCAGGTAAGACTGAGTGCCACAATGAGATGTCTCCATCATACTAAAAGTCAAAACATAGTATGAGTACTATACGGAACTCGCCAAGAAGAGCAGACGGGCTGTTCTCAACAAGGCTATCGAGCTCGCTGCTAGTCTCCATCAACAATATCCCACTGTTGTGCGGGAGGAACTGACGATTGAGATCGGTGTAAGGCAAGCAGTGGTTGTTGACTGTGCAGGCTGATGAAGCATCCAGGCCATTCTTCTGGCGATCGAAGTTCGACCATTCGTGACGGGAAACATCCACCTCATGGTCAACCCTAACTACGCCTACTACCAGCGCAAGACCGTGGAGGCCGCAAAAAGTAAGTTTTGCATTGACTGCTTTAGACCGGCGCTGACTTTGTCTGGCGGACAGGACTGCATTGTCTGTTCCATGATATTGATCCAGACTTCGATCCCTCCCGCCTGGTGCTAAAGGTCGCTGCCACCTGGGAGGGGTTGCAGGCGTGTCGGGAGCTGCGGTATTCACGTATTCAGACCTTGGCAACCACCCTGTTCACAATGGAGCAGGCCATCCTGGCCGGGGAAGCCGGCTGCGTCTCCATCTCTCCTTTTGTGCATGAGCTGAAAGCAATTTTTGAGCCCAGCTATAATGACGCAGATCCATTACTACCGTTGTGTGTCCAGGCTCAGCAGTGGTATCGGCAGGAGTTGTTACCGACCAAGGTCAAGGCATGTGCGACCATTGGGTTGGACGAAATCTTGCAGCTGGCCGGGGTGGCAGCATTTACCCTGGTCCCGGATGACCTGAAATTGTTACAGTCTAGCCACAAGGAGGTGGACGAGGTGCAAAGCTTGTCATTGTTCCAGGATAGGGAGGTCATGCAAGATAAGCTTGCCTACCCGTGTTACATCAACGATGAAGCCGGGTATCGCTTGGCTTTTGCGAGAGTAGAGGAAGGCCGTGCTCAGTTGAAACTTGGGCAGGTAGGTGACTCTGGACTGTAGAAAAGGCTCAGAACTGCTTACTGATCTTCCTTCTAGGCGATCAACATTTTCTGTGATTTTCAAACTAAGGCTGAGCAATTGGTTCGGGATGCGACGCGTGCGTGAGCATTGCATGAGAGTATTCTTAGGACAGCAATTGACTACATCATGGTGATTGAAGGGGTCCAGGTCTATCTATGCGCAGAATGCAACGAGTATGCCACTTTTCTCTATGTGATTTCATTCTCTCTATGATCTACTCGTAGTTGAAGGTTTGCCATAATCCCATTGGCAATGCGCTCGGTCGGGTCATCGTGGATTTGATTATGCGACTGAGCCGTGACTCTGACTGTGATGCAGTTGCATCAGTCACCATGTGGGGTTGTGTACGTTGTGCGATGTTCCACAAAGCCGTGAGCGCGAGCGCATCACGAAGATTGTGCGACGGGAAACGAGTTCTCAGTTCTCCAGAGCACATAACCAGAGCCGACTCGAACGCTTATCCAGTCCAGGAGCTGAAAGTCTTACCCTGAGCGTCGTACAGAACGGATTGCCGCAGTGCCCGATAAATAGATGCATCTAGTACCACGTTATACAGATGAACCAGTTCCCAGCGGCCAGACACTGTCTTTATGGCAGACTATACAACCCAGGTTGAGGTTCGTCATGAAACTCCAGCAAGTCTTGGTACCCGGACTGGCGGCGCTGCCAGTACCCGAGCTAATTGGTGGAAATGTGAACTATCTATTCACTTTGTATGTCGTTTGTTCCCCCCTTGTACAAGATTGTAACCGTAGCCCTGACTGGGCCGGGTCCTGACTTGAGCGACGGGAACAGTGGCGATTCCTACACCACCACCGGTTTCAATGTGTCGGCTGAGCAGCCAGCTGTGAAGAATCCGATGGGCAATCCGGAGTTAGGTGTCTTTCCTTTTTCTTTAGGGGTTTGATTACGATATGATGAGTGTTCCCCCTCAGTCCAGCCCACTGATCACTGATCCAAGACGGGTAAAGGCCAAGGCACCGCCTCCGACGGAATCAATTGGGTCGGGTATCTAACCACCCACTTTAACCACACCTTAACATATAGCTATAACCTGGCGGTGTATGGGGCTACGATCGATAACGAGGTGATTCCGAATGAGCCGGGGGATGTAGTGAGTCAGGTTAGGGAGATGTTTGGAAGGCATTACTGCCCAGGAGCGGTAGAGACTACACCCGATACTTGGACGGAGGTTGCAGATGCAGCGCTGTTTGTGATTTGGGTGGGGATCAATGAGTACGTTTCTTCATTATTTGCGTCTTCCGTGCGTCAGAACTTTTGATTATGTATGATTTATGTGTGGTTGGGGATGTTTGCCAGTCCGATTTCCAATCCGCCTGCCCTACCCTATCCTACCCCCCTTGCCTTGCAGATTTTACTCGGGCAAACCAGTCAATGCCAAACTTACACATTCATGGATTCAATTGGGTGGATGACAGTGTACAATTCAGCTACCTCTCTCCCAACCCCCTCCTACAACTCACCGCCGCACTGGACACATACTTTCAGGTGTTGGCAGAACTCTACGACTGCGGCGCCCGGCGCTTTCTGGTCATGAATGTGCCCCCAACCACCCGCACGCCAAACATGCTGACTCACAGTTCGAGACAACGCGCTCGCCATCTGACTACTGTCCACTTATTCAATCTGTTAATTGAGCGCATGGTGAAGCGGTGGGCCGGGGGATTTCCGGATGTACGTCACCCCTCTGCTTTCTCGTTGGGCTGGAAAGCTATTGATGTACGCATTGCTAATGGATTATGCTTGTTGTGCCACCGTGACGGCAGGCGACGGTGATGCTCTTCGACGTGTTTGCTTTTATGGATGCGGTCCTGGATGACCCCAAGCGGTATGGGTTCCGGGATGGCACTTGTATGGACGAGGAGGGGTGTGTGTGGTGGGATGATTTTCATCCGAGGTCGGAGTTTCATTTTGTTCTGGCGAGGCAGCTGGAGGGATTTCTCGATGGTGGTTTGGATTGAGGCCGTTGGTTGTGTAGCTGATAAGGAGGAAAGTAGCGATTGAGACTGGAGGGCATGGCACGGATCTGCATTGTCGTACTAAGAGACTCACAGCAGTGATGTTGAAATGTTCAATTGTAGAGTCAGGAATTGAGAGCGGGTTACTGCTGTAGTGGAGGAGGTGATATCTATGAGTACTACCTGTACCTCGAGTCGACAATCCTCAGCAAAACCGATACTGCTACACGTACTACATTCGACATGGCGGACACTATCAACGCTCTAACGTACCTTCGTTCCAAGACCCAGCTTGACCTGGATAGTCTGGATCTTGAAGGCATGCTTGCTTCCTGACTCTTAGCTACTGATGCTAACGAATCTCAGCTGCCCGTAACGGAGGTCCCGATGGGCCGTGGACAGATGCCACCTCCAACCCAGTATGTACCTCTCCTGACACCAGTGAAAAGCATACTAAGTTGTGGATGTAGGCAGAATCATACTTCCAACTTCAGAAAGAGGAAAACAAGGATCTCGTCGCGCAAGCGATTGACATTGCCCAAGATCTCCATCAAAAGTACCCGGGCGTAAGGCTCGCCGAGCTTCGGGTTGACATTGCTGTAAGTTTCGCATTCTCCGCGGTGCTTCAATTAAGTCTTACCAACTCCTGGAATAGACCGCTCTACTGGCCAACCGAGTCCTCCCCTACATCACCGGCGCCGTCCATGTCATGGTCAACCCATGCCATGCCTTCTCCACTACGAATGTGATTCAGACGTGTCTGCGTAAGTTCCACCGCCTTCCGAACGCCCCATAGAAACCACATTGATCGCGCATGGAAAGGATACCACGAGATCTTCCACCACATCGACCCGCATTTCAACCCCTCGCGCCTCGTCATCAAAGTCTCCGCGACTTTCGAGGGACTGAAAGCCTGCCATGCGCTGCGGGCAAAGAACATTCAAACTCTCGCCACCACCGTCTTCACGATGGAGCAAGCGGTCCTCGCCGGCGAAGCGGGGTGTGTGTCGATCTCGCCGTTTGTGCACGAGCTGAAGGCTGGCTTTGATGATACGTTCGTTCTTTCCAACTTCCTATGTTATCCTTATTGTATTCTTTGTCGACGGTCATCAGGCAGGGGTGACCTGGAGAGATGGCTAACCAAGCGAGAGCAGATACAAAGATCAAGACCCCCTCCTCGACCTCTGCGTCCAGGCCCAAGAGTATTACGTCCAGCACGGGATCTCCACCCGTGTCAAGGCTTGCAGCTGCATGTCCGTCGAGGAGATCCTGCAGTTGGCTGGGGTGGCGGCCCATACGATCCCGCCGGAGGATCTGGAGAGACTGGCTGGGATGAACGAGGCGGTTGACTGGCTAGAGAAGATATCCTTGTTTCGGTCGAATGCTTCTGTGGCGTTACAACAACAGCAGCCTCGCAGCTATATCGAGAGTGAAGCAGGTTATCGGGTGCATTTTGCGGCGAGTGATGGGGGACGAGGGCAGACTCGGTTGTTCCAGGTTCGTTTCCTACGTGTCGGTGGTTGGCTTTGGTGGTTGACTGTTAACACTGTCCAGGCTATTGCGATCTTCGCGGACTTTCAGCATAAGGTGGAGCTAATTATGGGAGGGCAGTAGAAGGTTGGTTGATGGCGATGGTTGGGCTGGAGTCAATGGGGAACACTCGCGGGAATGAATCGTTCTTGGAAATCGTTGCGTTAGGGCTATCTCTGGTAACATCTAACAAGCCAATATCTAGTGAACACTAGATAGCATTCTGCCTTTATATAACATCCCCTGTGAAGTCTACCACGATAACCTGGCCAACTGAAGGATGTAGCTCCCTTCCCAGTCCCAAGTGAACTGGATCGCTGGAGACGTAGTAGTCCCGATCCTCAGGCGACTCGAACTCCGCTACGAACCCGTGGGTAATCCCATGCTAGGGCAGTGTTATCACTTGAGCACTTGACAGCCTCGGACCCAGGGCACTCACTTGCATTCCCTCGGGTGAATGATCCTTGCCACCGTGGAAGGAGACGATGTAGGGCTGCCCGGTCGCCGGGTGAATGCATCGATGCTTCAGTGCGAGAACGTCCTGGCAGGCCTAGACCAGCAGCCAGACTTAGTAACGCTTGACTTCTGCAGGGTCTTATCCTTTGGGTGCAAGTGGGAACCCACCTGATTGATCACTTCTGGAGTCAGGCCAGGCTTGAACTGAAATAGCACGATGTGAGTGACGACCATAATAGCTTACTGGGGCAAGCCAACTCTCCATGAAATCGATAAGCGCTGTATGTTCACCACCTTGCTTGCTGAGCCCGGCGTAAATTTATAACCCCTGTTCCCAGGTCAATCATGATCAACAATCCGCCGGGCCACGTCAATCCCACAGATCAACGGACGAGCAAACATCCTCACCACCGTGACGGACATATTTAAAAGCCGCTTGTATCCAGGACAGCTCCAGCCTATCCATCTGAAACAGTGACTTGATATCAATCACCTGCAACTCCCTAGTAAACACACTGTCAATCAACAGCCAACCAAGCAGACCACTCATCGAGCAAACACACAACCCATTGACAAGCAACAATGCCGCAATGGCAAACACAGCACACCACCGCCCCCCTCCCCACCCCCTCCGAACTTTCCTCCTCTTTCTCGCTACGCGCCCCTCCCGCCACTGACCTGTGGGCCTCATCCCCGGGCACCTGCATCTTCACCGCCCCGTTCATCTACCAGGCAATGCCCTTGGCCTCCTTCCGACGGGCCCGTGTCACCATCTCCGCGGAGCTAGCTGAACAACCCTACGCCCAGGCTGGCCTGGCTCTGCTGCTCCCGCAGTCCGACGGCCAACGCAGATGGGTGAAAACCGGTTTCGAGGTTCTGGGGGGTAGGCGGGTCCTGGTGACGGTAGGGCGGGATCGGTGGCCGGACTGTAGTCTTGTGCCTGCGGATCCTGAACTGGGTAGGGTGACGATGGAATTGTTACGTCAGGGGGATAATCTAATCGTTAGCCGCGTGAACCGGTCGGAAAATTGGGTGGGTGAGAGGGAAGTTCTTCGTGAGTTGGGGTGGGTGTTTGTTCCGTCGATTGGAGATTTGATTCAGGAGGAGTGCTGGGTTGGGGTCTTTGTTGCGAATCCGTCTGGTGAGGCGGATGCTTTTGATGCGTGGTTTGAAGGGCTGATTGTGGAGGGAATGGAGAATGGACTTTGATTTCTGGCCTAGAATTGTTCGCATTGAGACGCAGAGGGCTATGCTGTTGTATGCCATGGATGCTGTCTAGCTATCTACGTATGCTGCTACGGCACGTCCTCAATTCCAGCAGCAATGGTCTCCTCCAGACTAATCCAGCCCGGCTGGCCGTAGAATTCGCGCAGTAGATCCTCTGCGCGGCGCGAGGGGAGGATCTCGCTTGCATCGCGGCCTTCGTTGGCAGGCGGGTCGGGGATTAGGGCATTGTCTGGACGCAGCCGGCGCAGGATGTTGACCACGTCCGTCCAGTTGAACTCCGATGCAAATGCGAAAATGCGCTCCCCTTTCACGGCGGGACTGAGTAGTGCGATGACATGCAGTCGCGCCGTGTCTTCGACGTTGACGTACCATTCTGCTCGTAGGGACTGTGAGGATGGAGAGTACTGGGGTGAATTGATTGTGCATCTGGGCCGAATGACTTACGTGGAGGGAACTCGTCCATGACCGAGCCGTCGCCGCGTAGGAGATTTCTCATTCGGATCATACTCGACCCTGCGATTTGAGGGTGCAAGACCCGTCCGAACTACATTTGATTAGACTCTGGAAGTGCTGGTGGTTTTGGGTTGTTTACGTTGGAGTTCGGGACGACAGTGCTGAACTCGAACCGGGGCTTGCGCTCCCTCACCCATCGCCAGCCCTCACGCTCTTGTTCGGTTTTGGCGGCGGAGTAGATATGATATGCTTTCGTCTCGGGCGGCGTTGATTCATCCCAGGCGGCGTGGACGGAGACCTCGTTCCATGTATCTGTCTCACAGTCACATTCAGAAGAACACTTTCACCAGAGACGCAGGAAACCTACTCTCATCGACTATGGTCTTCTGACCTGGCGTCGGGAGCAGTGCCGCCGTAGATGACGATGTCAGCACGAATCGCGTCACAGATTGTTGACTGGCGGCGGCTTCCAGGAGGTGAATTGTCGCTCTCTTTACCCATGGGATTACCGCATTGGGTTCAGAATTGAAGGACATGTCGGATGCCTGGATTAGATGTCGTGTCTTAGCACGGTTCTGAGACATGTCGAATGGCTTCACATACGATATGCAGCACTCCAGAAACATTTTGCATTGCACGACGACACATGTCCAGCTCGTCCAGCATCGTAATTATGATGCTCTCAAAGCGACCTGCCCCGTAACGCTCCGTAAAGTATCTATCCAGCCAGGGTTTTGCCGTGCGGACCGTCCCGCGGACCTTGTAGCCTCGCTGGAGCAGGATGTCGATGGTTTGCGACGCGATGTAACCGTTTGCGCCGGTGACCAGGATCAAAGAGCCTGGGGGGACGACGTAGTCTGTTGGGTGCAGCATGTTCCTTGATGTTGTCTAGTAGCCAATGCTGGACTGTGTCGTGGGGGAAGTGCTGGAGTGTTGAGTGTATGCAATTGCTTCTTTATCAAAGTCGTGGAACGCAGCATCGACTATGGTCTTGAGGTCAACTGATGTCGAGCTATGACGATGTGATCCCATAGATAGATTACACTGTAAACGTGTCTTCACATGTCACTGACCTGCATTAGAACCTTATCATCGCTCCTCCGCAGCCCAGGGTTGAGCGTGGCGACCCAATGTTTGCTCCGATCAAACACCTGTAATTCACTCCAATCCGCCACATGTTCCAACTGTATGTTAGCACCAAGATAGACGGGGCATGTGATGTTCAGCTCTTGGGTGGAAGTGAAATGTTCTATGCTTTCAGCCGATATATGAGTCAGTCCTCCAAACTCGAGCAACGAGGTCACTCTGTAACCATCCACCCCAGCTCAGTCACCAAATTCAGCATGACAGAAACTCCAAGCAGCGAATCCAGTGCCCAGACTGTCTCCAAGGACACCCCTCTTGAGGAAATTATTGCGATCCTCAAGCGTGACGGCTGTGTGGTTGTGAAGGAGCTCGTTTCTCCGGCAGACGTCGACCAGGTCAACCAGGATGTCCAGGAGAGACTCCACCGCGATCTCGAATGGAATGGCAGCTTTTTTCCCAGTAAGAGTCTTTTCTCTGTGATGCACCCTCCACATCCTCAAATGATTTGACCTGCTGAGACCGGTGGTGGTAGAGGAAACCCGACGGGCGCCGTCGATGATCGCCCTAAGCCCCACCTACACCCGCACCCAGGTGATGAACCCCCTCTTCCAGGCCGTCTGCGCGCACTTCCTCACCACACGCAGCGTGTTCTGGTGGGGTGACCTGCAGAAGGAGTCCGTGTCCAAGCCGTACGTGACCTCGTGCACAGGGATCGAGGTCGGGCCCGGTGCCCAGGCCCAGCCGCTGCATCGCGACTCGTACATCAACCACAATATCCTGTCGGAGATCGAGGCGTGGGACGATGAGCGCGACCAGACCCGCGAGACGGCATTGGGCATGATGGTCGCCGGGTGCAAGGTTACCAAAGAGAATGGGGGGACGCAATTCATCCTGGGGAGTCATCTCTGGTAAGCCTCTTCACGTTTGGATGTTCGAAAGCCACCACAACAGGGAACCAGACTGGCGACTTATATTGTGTTGTTGGGCGCATACAGGGGTACTCACCGCACGACGCCGCCCGATGTGCGGGACTGTGTCGTGGCTGAGCTGGACAAGGGTGACGCCCTGATCATGTTCTCCTCCCTCTACCACGGAGGTGGGGCCAACACCAGCCGCGATGAACGGCGCATCGCGTACGCAACCTTCGCTGTGCGCGGTTACCTCCGCCAGGAAGAGAATCAGTACCTGGCGGTACCGCGGGAGATGGTGCAGCGGTACGACCATGCGACCCAGCGGTTCATCGGGTATTCCATGAGTGATCCGGCCTGTGGTTATGTGGAGGAACTCAGTCCATTCTATCTGCTTCATCCGGAGATGTTGCAGGATGCTAGACCACAGGACTTTTGAGGGGTGCGATGAGTGAGTGTCGGCTGGATTCGGCATTGTATGGACTTTAGAAGGCCTCCAGGGCAGGGGAGATAGAAACAGGACCAAGGCTTTGACAAGAACTTCAGGTGAATGGATGGTTGGCCCACCCAGAGTATGATTTGAGCATCATTCCCTGCCCTCGCCGCGTCGGAAAGCGGGGAACGGGGTTTCCGCTACCGTCATGTTGAATCTTTGTTCTCAGGCACCTGAGACATCATCTGAGCTCTCTGCATGGTGACCTTCGGTATATTGATAAAGAAACAGCCTTCTTTCTTCCAGCCTTGTTTCTTCCAGCCTTGTCTACGATGCTCCGGAAAGATGGTTTAGCTGTTGCAATGAGAAACAAGGCGTAGTGCGAGTGGATTGCTTTATGCTGAAGCCTGCCTTTCCACCCTCACCCGCGACCACCCGATCCTGCAATTCAATCTCTTTCAATAAGAGAGGCTTACATAGAGCAGACGGGCTCAAAATGCATAGGGAATCCCGGAAAAAGAACAGTAGGGGTCCATCTTCACAGGCAACTTTGTGTCAAGCAAGGGTCATTGAACAGCCCCCGTCCCCCTTTCTTTCCATCCATCCACGCAACACCAACACCAACATGGCGAAGCCTTATGAGACGGGCGCTGGGATTCATTTCTGGGGCCCCTATGATGGTTGGATGCAAGAGCAATGCCCCATCAAGCCTAATGTCGAGCACAAGGAGGTGCGCAGCACGGCGGCGGCGGCGGCTACCTCCATTCTTGGAGAGAAGTGGGCCAAGAAGAATAAAATAGGAGGAGAAGGGAAAATCACCGTTTGAATATCGCGGCCAGGAAGTGACCTTGACCTTCATTTCCGAGATCGTCAACTTGCTGAAGGAGAACAATATCCCCCGTCACGTGATCAACGATGCCCTGTGGCGGTTCTACGGCTGCCAAAATCGCATCACCACCATTGACCTGGTCACCCCGCGGCTGACTTCAAGAATGCTGTCAAGCTCTGCGTGCTGCCAAATTCGACGATGACTATCCCCGATGCATCGGTCATTTGGAAGTGACGGTGAAGGAGACGAACGAGTACGACCGCAGCGGCAAGTGGAGGTCTGGAGAGAGGTATTTCATTGGCGCCCTCTGCCCTTACCTCTGGAAAGCACCTCGAGGCCTGGTGGGTGCCAGGCCATGTCTTTCACTTGCAGCCGGCCCCAGCCACGAGCACCACGTCGATCTCAACCTGTTCCGCCACGAGGAGTACTTCTTCCATCTCCCTTCCCCGGGGTCGAACGAACTGTGGGCCTACGACCAGTTGAAGAAGGAGCAATCGCCCATCTACATCGACTCGACCGATGTCGCCCTCGAACGAGAGGTGGAAGAACCCTATGCGGTCAAGATCCTGTGTCCCGCGCGCATGGTGGAGGCCCTGATCCGCCTCAGCTTTCAGGATCGGTACTTGCGCAGCCCCATGTCGCAGCTATTGTCGGATTGGCAAGGGTGGAACGAGTGGGATCGCACCCTCGTCGGTATCTTCTGCTCCATCACGGGCCGCGCCGGGGAGGAGGAAGCCCGCCGACGGGTAAGGACTCCTGGGTTCCAACTCAGAGTCAACAAGACCTTGCTCGAGGTGGATGCTGATCACCCCGAGGAGACGCTGCTCACCCTGAAGGGACTGAAGCCCCTTTGGTTCCGATTGAAGGACTTTCAACCCCTTTTCCAGGAATACCTTCAAGCCCTGTTCCTCACGAGACGCAACGACCGACCATGTAAACCCTCGCCTCCTCCCCAACAGGAGCAGAAGCAGGGGCATGGGCATGGGCAAGATCAAAAGCAATCCGGCCCGTATCCTCGCGAATGGCTCGACCACAGTCCCATCCTTCCACACTTCCAGCACTGGACTGCCTTCTCGGTGATGAATGAGTTTGCCTGGCGCTTCAAAGAAGCTGGACTCTTCCCCCCCGGCTCTCCTTTCTACGTCGAGAAGACGACCCGGGCCATCAAGGCGCTCAATCACCCCCGGCGCCCCTTCGATTCGCTTGACGACCCCATGCAGTTCCCTGGATTCTGGCAGGAGCTTGCACACAGCAGGGTCGAATGGCAGAGGCGAGACGAGCAGCATGCGCGGACCGATCCCTGGTCCCGACACTACTGCCCTTGGTCTTAGTCGGCTCGCGAGCTCCTCCTCTCCCCTAGTTTAGCTTTTCTTATATCACCGAGCAACTCGTCAGTCGAGATGTTGATTTCATAATCTACACCTATGGTTTCACTTGCCGGTGCCGATGATCCCCAAGGATGAGTGTCATGTTTGTGTCGGAACGGACAGAACACGAGATTGATTGAAAGAATAAAGGCCACTTAATCCCGAAACCCACGATCTTCCAGCTCAGCACGCCTTGTACGGTTCAAATAATCATCCGAAAGAAAGAGAGAAAGACAGAGAAAACAGACAGCCAGATAAACAGACAGCCAGACAGTCAGGCAAACAGAAAGAGAATCAGAAAGACACCCAAAAGGTAAAGTACCCTCAAGCAAAGAAAGTGTTCCATAGCCAACTGAGAGAGGCCCAGAGCAGGACGGTCGCAACACCAAAACCAATGAGGACGGAATCCCCCTCAATAGCATCACCCCCTTTCTTCAATCCGGTATTCCCGAACGAGCCCCTCCATTTCATCTCAAGTCAATCTGGCGTCACTGGACGGCGGTTCGTTCGAGTTGATCTGTGGCAAGCGGGTCATGTTGCTCACAGATGGCCGGGGATCGAGTTGATCCATAGGGACCGAGACGATGGGCAATCATGTTTTCCAGGTGTCGATCTGTCTTCTAGTTAGCCTGTTGGGAGGCGAAAGTCATCGAGACAACCGGGACTTGAAAGGAACTCACCCGAACCTGATGCAGGGCATGTGGGTTGTGGGTTTGCCAAACTCTCCACTGCCAGTTCTCCGGAGCAAAGCATATGTTATATCGGGAAGAAACGAGAGACCTCTGTCATCAAAACCTGTACGACAAGATGAATCTGGAGCTATATTATTCCATTGAGAGGGAGCGAATCAGGCCCAGCCTGAAGCCCAGCACCAGTCACCCGGAACACAAGGATGCCTGTTCCGCTATCAAAATCCACTTCCTGTCGCCCTAGCCCTAGCATGCTGTTCCCTCGAGACATCATATCGGATATCTCGAAGACTCAGCTTCATGGTCCGAGCTCTTGCAATGCCATGGCAATCTTGGAAGTCAGCCCTGAGTAATAGCTTTCCGTCTAGGATCTTGCCAAGGTGGGTCTTGTCAATTTCCTGCCCGTCCTTCCGTATCTGTGACATGAACACCTTGAGAAACCGGAGGGGGCTTTTGGTGAACCTGGCACCTGCCTGTTGATTCTCCATGATGAACCCATCCGCGGCGACAGCCACGCCCTCTGGTGCGGCAGTAGATGCCACTCCTAGGAAGCGGCATATTTCACAATACTCGTTGTAAGAGGAAACATAGAGCTGCCCCGCAAAGAGGTTCAGTTGAATGCGTAGGCTCTCAGGGATTTGCAGGGGCCTTGTGCTTAAAGTCGTCGGAATCGGGTACAGATCGAGCTTATCGACGGGGTATGAGCTCTGGTTTTGACGAGGTGCATATAGGTGCATCGTTACTGTACCAGATCCACGAATGTAAGAATGAAGCTTATTCGCTTCGTACGGGCTGATGATCACCATGTGCCTTCCGGACGTCCCGTCCTTGGAGGGATGTTCGTTGCTCATCAGGACCCATTCAACCGCACGCTGGTAACTATCCCGGGCAGACCATTTATCTGGCAGTCGGACGGTTCTAGCAAACTCCATGGTGACAAGAAGCTCCGATGGAAACTGGGTCACATCCAGGTAGTCGGCCGCTGATGTATTTTCTAACACCATAAAAGCTGGTTTCACCGCGGTGGATGATGCATCCAGATGTCCAGTGGCCACGAACAAGCGTATATCGGGATGCACGGAATGCGGTTCCGGCTCGGCAGGAGCCGGACGTTGAACTTGTCGTTCCTGCTCAATCTCTGGTGCGAGCTCTCGCTCTTGCTCTTCCTGGAGTTGCGCTGCAGAGAACTTCACGGTTGCGAACTCACGGCATCGGTCCAGTATGCGACACAAGTCCGCATCGTCAGTGTATTGGGAGGAAAGAGCTAGATCATTCTTACGGCCGGGACGGTATCGCTGTTCCAGCGACTGGTATTCCGGTTCCAGAAAGCCCTCTGCCTGACATTTTGGTATCGAGGTTTGCCCGTCCTGTCGCACAACACGCCAATGACGGGCCTGGGCCTGATATCGCTTTCCCTGCACTGCCCACAAAGGCATGCTGCGTTGCATATCGTCCCAGGTCTCGGAAATCGCCCAGCGGAGCACGTATGCTACGGTAAGATCAGACTCGGGGGACCTCCCACAGAGCGTCAAAATCTTGAACTTGACCTCTTCCGGAATGCAAAACACTACCGATTGTCCTTTCCCTAATTTTCTCATCCTCATACATGCTGTGATAGCTGTTAGTGAAAGGTACGCCTGGCCGTTCTATTGGGACTCCCTGACCTTGAACCAGCTTGTCTTTTGTGATACTCGGTCCCAGCGTCACCGCCGCCCGGGTTTGGGAGGGTAGCATCAGATCAATCCCTCTCGTGTGTGCTTCGTCAAGGAACACAAGGCATTGGTCGAGGTGCCCTTCGAAAGGTGACGTCCGCAGCGGTTCGACGAGTCCGGTCCGATCCACCACGGCAATCTCGTGGTCGTCGTTGATAAAGACCACGGCCTGCGTTCTACTGTCATTACCGATCATTTCCAGCCATGTCTTCGCAACCTCCAAGTTACTCAGCTCCAATATCCGAGCTCCAACGTCCAGAATCACCCGTACGGCTGGATCTAGTGCCGCCACCATATCCAGAAGGACCTGCGCATCTGACTTGGACAGGTCATCTCGTGCCGGAATTAGGGCAATGCCGGTCTCTGGTTGCAGGAGATATTCGAGAACTAATGCATTGGTGTGGTTCTGATCAGGTAGGTCCAGCTGCTCCACACTGAGGGGAAGGGTGACCCGGGAATCGTTGGTCCCGCTGAAGCCGACGGTGGGATGGCACTTGACCTCGGCGATATCCCATCCGGATGAAGATAGTTTACTCGGAAACTCCCTGGGACCTTTGGCGAAAATGATATGAGCAAGGAAGTAATCGATGGCCCCCTTGGCGAACCGAAGACACGGGAAAATGTGTTCCACGCAAAGGAGCCGATCCTGGAGATTAACGCCCATCAATTGACAATACGCGGGGGGAAGAGTTGGGGCATCCTCGACCCATATCTGATACTCCGCGGCAGCTTGATCCGATCCGACCACATGGTCGAATGCCTGGAATAGATCGTCGTCGCAGAGGCCTTCATAATAATAACTCAGGCACGTGAGCACAATGACCACATCGGGGTGACTGAATTCCGCTCGTGGTGCAGGGTTATCCTTCGCACGATACGGCACCGCCAGCCTCGTGGGGGGTTGTCGGGAGCGATCAAGTCCGTAGTTGACTTTCCACCGTCTGTGTCCCAGGCAGAATGCTAAGACGTTGCCAGCTAGCAGACCACGAAGTAGTAGAAGAGGATCCTTGGTGCTGTCGGCCCAAAAACCAGACGCATCTGGATTTTCAACCACCGCAATCTTCTGTTCTGACGGCTCCGGCTCAAGGCAGTAAGCGATAGCCGTGCGTCGGGCTGCTTCTGGATGCCTTGAAATGGGCAGTTTGTCGATGCCGTTGTGGGAGATATGATCTGCGATCCGTTCAAACAGCTGGTGCGCGGCATCCGCTCGGAGCAACCTGATTCTGGGGAAACTCCCTGGATGTGGCTCCTCCACCTCAATCGACCGCGGGAGCTGCATTTTGATACCCGGCGCATATTTCCTCACCAGGCCGAGCATCTCTTGAATCAGATTCCACCGCTGTGGACTGAGCTCCAAAGGACGCTGGGTCCCCATTGTGTAGATCAGCTCGAACTTGACACTAAAGTTTTCATCGCTTTCATCTACCAGATCTCGCGAGGAGGTCCGGAAGAAATCCAGGATCCTAAGAAGACATACACCAACCGCCTCTCTCCCGGTCATGAAGCACTCTAGGCACATCAGCTTCAAGGATAAGAGGTGCTCAGGCTGAACAAGGAGAACTCCGCCCTCCGCCATGCAGTCTTTGCACATCCGTTCGATCTCTTCCGCCTCAGGGCCACCAATCCGCAACGAGCGTGACACGGGGAGATGATACACCCGCCGTCCTAAAAGTCCCCCTAGCTTGGAAACGAGCATCTGAAACATCTGCCGCGATTGTGGCTTGGCGACAATGATGCGAACTAGGCAACGGTCTGCGAGCGCGGCTGCCACGATGGGGACGATGATGGAAGACTTGCCCTCGCCCATATTCAGTTGCATGACGACGTTATGTCCGGGCTGCGCATTTCTCATGCGTCGCGCAATTTGTTCTTGGACGTCCCGAATCAATAACCCACTCTCAATCTCCAGCAGCAACGACTCGGGGAAATCCATTGGGTCCCAGTTCGTGTGACCAGCGTTCTGCAGTTCGCGGGCTAGATCCACGCGATGACCCATCATATTGACGAGCCTCTTCGCCCGCTGGACCGCCGTGAGGGAACATCCATACGCGATCAAGCATTTCTTCCAGGGCTTAGGCAGGTGGCTCCAGCGTTTGCGTGTCAGCTGATGGAGAAGGAGCTGTGATGATACCCTCGGCCAGACGTGGACATTTGCAAATGTTCCCAGGATATTGCGCTGCATGTGTGATCCTGGACGTACCTCTGCTGTCATCGTATTTGAAAGCATCATCCTCGACATGACGGAGCGACTGATCTCCTCATGGTACTCTTGGCAGCGATGCAAATGATGGGATATGACGGTCTCAAGAACGTCGTCATTAGGCAAGTGATGATCCATATCCTGGATACCCTGCAGGGATGTGATACTGGCCCGCAGTCTCTCGATGTATTGCCTTTGGAACTGAGATCGCGCTTGTGGTTCCAGGGCATCGACTAAGCTCAAAAGACGTAGGTTTGGGTCAGGAGTAGTGCCACTGCCCGACCAAGGTGGTAGAGTGGGTGGTTCCATTACCACCACCGGTGGTGGACCAAGACACTCGTCCAGTATGTCATCCACGGAGAT